TTTGGACCTAGCAGTGCTTTTGTGAAGTAGATTTTATCTATCTGGACAATGGTTGATGTTTCTTACACATGTTGGTTCACTGCCTGATTCTGCAGCTTGACTCTAGCAGACTAGCCATCTTTGACTGGTCTGGCAGCTATAGCCTATAAGTTGACCATAGTAGTTGGTGGCCTGGACACCTCCCCATTAGATTACTGCAAGCTTTCTATATTAGCCTACCTTGAGGCTATCTCAGAAGCTGCACCTACTGCAAAATACAGAAGTTAAACTGTTGGCCAGAACAACCTATAGAAAACAAATAATAGTATGATTTTTTAAAATCTTGCATCTTATGTTAAATTTTTGAAACTGTTTCAACCATGTGCCTTTTAATAGAATTGGTATTTTTTGTTTTTAATTTTTGTAAAATAAGTTTCTGAGTCAGTCAAGTGTACTACAGTGCTGGAACCAGCATTCAAATCCTCACATGGCCATGAAAACTCGCTGGGTGATCTTGGCCAAGTCACACTCTCTGAGAGGAAGGCAAGTACAACCCACTTCTGAACAAATCTTGTCAAGAAAATCCTGTGATAGTTATGCTAACATGAGAGCAAACAACAATTAGCAAATGAAATAAGTTTCTAGCTAAACTTTAAATTATTGTAAGCTGCCTTGGGTCCATTGTCAGGAGAAAAGTGACATATAAATTGGATGCATACATACATACCATAACATCAGAATTAAAGATATTTCACTTGCTGCTAATCCATAATTGGTCCAGTGACCCCAATAGATTTGGTTTCACGCAATGCCAGACTATACAAAACCCCATTCTGAAATCTAGCCTACAGCATTCACTGTCAATCTTTTATCCAAGTACTAACCAGGGTTGGCCTTGCTTTGCTTCCAAAATCAGACAGGATGTGATGGCTTTAGGATATTTACCTGATCTATATGGCCTGACTCCATTTATGGCAGCTTTGGACACAGGGAATAATAAAGAATGTGGTGCAGTGAGAAGATTTCTCAATTCCTAAATAATGGAACATATTGCATTGTTCCATTATCCGCACCTATACCACCCCCCACCCACCCCCGTCCTCACATATACAAATGGCTTGAAGCATTGTCCAAATACTGGGATTCATTCCTGGCAACCAGCTCCAATGTTTTCCAATCAAGACATGCAGAGATCAGAAAGGAATCAGAGGTTGACTGCTTCAGTGATCAAAGAAGGATGCCAGCAGAAATTGCCAGATTTGACATGCTTTTTGTTTACAGACATTGACATTGTATAGACATTCAACAATAATTGATATTGCTCTGATTGGTACAAATTACAATTCACTGTATTTTTGGTCAAAATATATTTATTATTCTCATGTTTTATAGCTCATGATTGGTGGAATTTGTGTTGTGGGAAGCTTAATAAAGTTTGTACTGCAGGAAATCCTGAGTCTGTCTGCTGTGTCTGAGTATGCTCCCTTTAACCTGGCAGGGACTTCCTGGGTGAGGAACTGGGTGTTGTTGGGGACAAAGATCAGTGATTGCTATTGGGAGGAGTGGTCCAGGATGATGAGACTTCCTTGACGAGACAATAGATATCAAGGCTGAACAATCCACTGAAGGAATGGGGGGAGGAGGAGTGGATTGGATTCCAGTTACTATCAGTGTTTTCAACATCTGTGGTTCGCAATGAAAATAATCAATAATGCAAATAATGCCTTCTTCTGCCATTGTAAACAGCAGTTATAATATATGAGGGGAGTGGGTAAGCTATTGAAGACAATGGTAGAGACAATAGTTAAAGCATATAAATCCTGACCATTTTTTAATTGAGCTGGTAGGTTACTAATTCGGCTTTTTTAAAAAAGAAAGAAAGAAAGGTAATAGGGCAAACTATATGACAAATACTGGGTTTTTCCATCCACCTGAAAGAGAATGCTCTGCAACTGATTATGAGCAAGTCCACACATAATCTCTTTAGAACTTAAAATTACTAAATTGAAGCTATCACATTTTGAATATATCATGATACTACAAGACCCATTGGAAAATGTGGTAATGCTTTGAGACACTGAAAGCAATAGAAAAGGAAGGCCACATTAAGGATGGATTTATTCAATAAAGGAGAGTCCAACTGAGTTTGCAAGACCTGAACAATGTTATTCAAGACCTGGGATCATGCAGGTATCTTTTTTCAAGGGATCTACATAAGTCAAGGACAACTTGATAGCAAAGAACAACAACAATTTATTGGACTTGTGAATTCCACCACTCAGCAACACATCTTATGACACTAAAGAGGCTTCTCTCAATTTGTTCCTTTATAATGAAGGATATTGTCAAGTTTTGCCAAAGTGTCTAAAGCTAGTTCATGGGACTATGTTGTAAATGCACAAGTTGATATTAAACACAGAAATTGAAAATGACAAATCCAGAGAAAGGACAAATAAGCGATCCATTGATTCACCACTGTAACTTAGGGCTTATCAAGCAAATGGTGTGCATGTATGCTACTTTTCCAGTTAAGAATCAAGCCAGAAATAATAGCAGAGGAAGAGGGAATAGTGGGAAATGGAAGCCAATGCTTCCTGGGTCTACATAAAATTCCCTATTTGAGAAAATGAAATTGTAGAAGAGTTTGGAGCAGAAGCACTCCTGGACTGTGGCCCTGTCATCTGCCAACCTTTTATAGGTGTGCATAACATGAAGACTTTACACTAAGATTTCTCTTTCATTTTAAACATAATGGAATGAAATCCTTAATACAATATTTTGTCAATTGTAGATATGTAATGTTTCTGTTCACTAGCAATAGGCACATACATGTTCTACAGTTCACATGAACTAGGAAGAATCTGCAAGGTTTCAAAGTTAGCCGTTTGTAACAATTGAGGAATATCCATAATATTGCACAGCTATAAACTATTTTACATTGCAATGCTAAAAAGCATATGCCTTCTGTGTTACGCCTTTTTAGATTGCATGGGCTTATAAGGATTGACTTTTGAATAAACTCATTGTGTGAAAAAATACCATGAGTCTCTTTGACCCAGGAGCTAGGAAAGAATGATGTACATTAATTAATTAATGTGTTTCAGAATGTATAAATTACTCAGCATTTCTTTAATTGCTAAAAGAATTGATGTCTCAGGATTAACCAGAGATGTCATTGTTATTGGGGAGTGGTAGCAGAGTGCTGAGACTGTTGCATCTACGTTTTTAGTAACCTGATGAGGTTTTGATGACAGTTGGAGGTTGGTGGATGAAGATAAAGAGTTTGTACATACTGTGTTAGTATGCGTACTGTTACTGCAACTTAAGTACTACTGGTTAATTTTTCTGCAGACTGTTGACCATAGAGTTGTGCTAGAGGACCTCATGATTTCTAGAGACATAAAAAAACACTTTTAATTTTTTTGCATATTTGAGGAATGGTTGATTACCATTTTCCCCCTCATTAACATCATCATCTTTGGGTTGTTGTAGGTTTTTTTCCGGCTATATGGCCATGGTCTAGAGCAGGGGTCTTCATACTTTTTAAACAAAGGGCCAGGTCACAGTCCCTCAAACCATTGGAGGGCCGGATTATAATTTGGATAAAACATGAATTCCTATGAACACTGCGCATATCTTATTTGTAGTGCAAAAAACACTTAAAAACAATACAATAATTAAAATGAAGAACAATTTTAACAAATATAAACTTATTATCATTTCAGTGGGATGTGTGAGCTGATGAGATAGGATTGTTGTCGTTTCAGACTTAGGTTGACCCTGAGCGAGGGCCAGGTAAATGACCTTGGAGGGCTGCATTCGGCCCTCGGGCCTTAGTTTGAGGATCCCTGGTCTAGAGGCATTCTCGCCTGCATCTATGGCAAGCATCCTCAGAGGTTGTGAGGTCATAATCTTTTCCTAAATTCATCATCTTTTCCTAAATTCATTGCCTTATGATTTTTCCTGTTTCCTTTTTTCAGGTAGTCCCCAAGTTACAAACAAGGTAGGTTCTGTAGGTTTTATTATGTTGAATTTGTTAGTCAGAACAGGTACATTTTTAAAGTGTCACTCCACATACACATACATACACGCACGCACACACACACATATACATGCACATGCACATACATACATACATACATACATGTTTTTCCTAGCATAGGGAAGGGTTAACACCCCTGGGGTGTTTGTTTTCATGTCTATGCCCCTGTTCAGGCAATTGTACCTCACTTTCTCTCCCTGTGATAATTGGATTTTGAAAAAAAAAAGTTTGTTGTGGAAACAAAGATTGGTGATAAAGCTTCAGTTGATACACCTTTTCCCCATGATAACTCTTTCAGGAGTGAATTTCCTGAAAGAGAGGTATATTTCTCTCACTTCCTGTAGTCTCACCCCATTCTTAAAATAAGACATTTGTAAGTCGGATATTTGTAACTTGTCCACTCTTTTTCTGCCTTGGGTGTGGGAAAAGAATAGACCGACATTTACTGGAACTATTGGTCTATCCAGAGGAGCCCTGCTGAGGACTTTTAAAGTTTCCTTGTGGTTTTACTTGGCTCCATCATTGTGGCTATGCCACTCTACAGACATGTCGACGGGCAGACAGTGAGGAGTCCAGTTTCAGCACCTTCCAATGAAAGTTCTTTGTTTCTCTTTTCATGAGAAAATTTCCTTATTTCAGGCTCGATACCTCTGTCTTCTGCCATTCTTTACTTGGACACTTGTCCATCCAACAGCTACTAAAATCAAGAACTATCCTTTGAGAAAGAAACTCCTGAGACAGGCCATTCTATTTAGACACTATCAACACCAGTGCCCAAGATACAAGCTTTGTGGAAAGGGGTTAGAGAGGTTGCACTATGGAAATGGAAGCTTCATTAATTTGAATAATCTGATGAATATTTCATTTCACTATGTTTTTAAAGGCACGGCACAGATCTGTTACCTGCACTTTCAAACCCAAGAAAACAACTTTGTTTGAGTGAGTAAAGGCTATCTTTAAAGAAGGGTCTGAGTAGGAAATGTTTTCTCTCCAAATTACTGCCTTTCTCGTAGTTGCAGCTGACTTGACTCTGGGTGGACTCATTTCCAATGGCTTTATAGCTACAGTGATTATACAAAAATGGATCAAATACAGAAGCCTTGCTTCCAGTGAGCAGCTCCTTCTGATTCTGGGAATATCCAACGTTTTTGCCATAATTTTACAGAGTACCTCTGTAATAAGTGAAAATGTGTTTATCTGTAGCAACCATTTAATATTATCGACAATCTTTTTCTTTGTTTTCTTTGTCACGTTCTTCAGATTTTGGCTTACTGCCTGGCTCTCTCTCTTCTATTGCATCAAGATAATGAACAGCACCCATTTCCTGCTTGTGTGGTGCAAGATGAGGATATCATGGCTAATACACTGTCTCCTGCTAGGATCCCTACTCATTTCCTTGGCCATTTCCTTTTTCGCATTCCATGAGTTTCTTTTTGAACTCCAGAGCAATACAACAGCCAGCGTTGGAAACAGGACTCAAGAACAGACACTGAGACAGACTGTTGATTATGACAAAGTTTTATTTCTGGCTATCGGTACTACTTGTCCCCTTCTTGTGGTTGTATTTTGTTCTATCTTGTCTATTGTGTCACTTGGCAGACATATCCACAGGATGACAAATGAAAAGTCAAGTTTTAGGAGCATCCAAGCAGAAGCTCATGTCAAGGCAGCTCGGACAATGCTCTCTCTCTTATTCATTTATGTACTATTTTATGTGGGGGAAACATTAAATATGTCCATAAGCTTTGGAGATGGACAACAAATTTATGCTGTGTTTGTGGTCCTGTTGTACTCTCATGCTCAGGCTGCCATTCTGGTGCTGGTTAATTCCAAGCTAAAGAGGAGAGCTACCCAGATTCTTCTAAGAATTTCTCAGGAACAGTGCAGACATTTTGCTTGTTCACAGATTTAATCCTAGTTTATGTGAGCTTTGACGACAAATAGTCCACATAATCAGGATGATAGTAAGTCCAGACAAGTGCTATGAAGTGGGGGGAGGTAAGCTCTTAACCTGGACCTACTCCCTTTAAACATAATTTATCATTGCAATCAAAGAAAATCTGTCACTGGAGCAATGAAAAACTTTTCATCCAAAACTTTGAAAATTGGTGCTGTCCCTTTTAAGGATTACTGTTTCTGAAAACAAGGAAACAAGGCGAACAACACAACAGAATGTACAATCAGCTGGACAAAAGCAGCTCATTTAACACAAAAGAATTTTTTTCCAAGTGACATTATCTGACTTCTTTTTCCTTCTAAGCACTACTCAGTGTACTGACTCTCTAGAGTGCCTTGCCTTGTAGTAAATGTGTTTGGCATTACAACCAATAGGAAATATACTTGCCTGGAATGTCTGTCTCTCAAGAAGAACGTGCAAGTTTGGACGTTTGCAAATATTTTATGTTTGTTTCTTGTATGTCACACCAGTGGTTGAGAAAGAGGCCAGCTTGTTTGCAGGTATAAATATCTTCCTTCTCTAGAAACAGCAAAATGTATCTGTATCTGTTGTACTGTAAAGACTTTTCTAGGTACGCAACAAAAGAACAATCAAATGAAAAGACAGAAAGGTTGTTACTCCTTGCAGGTAGTTTCTTTGTGGGTTTGGAATGCTTCTCTCTATATTGTTGTGGCCCGAAGCTATGTCAACGCCTTAAATGATGGGAAACTGGCTTTGTTAATTTCTGTTCCCACCCTGGCTGCCTTCCACAAACTGAGAACCAAATCTTTAGTGAGTTAAGCCTGAAGATGAAAAATGTTCAATCTGAATTTATTTATTTGTTTATTTTCAGTACTTATATTCCTCCCTTCTCACCCCGAAGGGGACTCAGGGCAAATCACAGGACACGTATTCGGTAAACATTCAATGCCGATTATACAATGACAAGACAGATAACAGATAGAGGTATATTTTTAGGCTTTTTTCTCATCATTTGGTATCTTTGGAGGCTATGCTCGATTCTGATTTTGTTTTTGTTTTTTGCCAAAGAGCTTTCTTTGTTCGTAAAATTTCTTCTGAAACACGGTGCTTAAAATACCTCCCCGCTTAATGCAACTCCTATTTATCTACTCACATTGCTATTTTCGATCTGCTAGGTGGGCGGGGGAGCTCACCTTGACCTGTTTTCAAACTGTCAGTCTTTCGATTGGCAAGATTTGTTGCAGCTGCAGCTCGTGATTAACTTGCTGTGCTAAAGTCGGCCCTAAAGGCACAAAATATGTATGAGTCTCAGTGACTTAAAAACCAACTGCTCAGTTGCAGAAATGTTCATTCTCTTCTTCCTTCCTTAGATTCATTTTAATTTCTACTAAAGATAAAATGAGATCACAGTTTTTGAAGTAGTGCTCTTCTAAGTGCTGCAAGATATCTGCTTACTATAGCACATTTGCATTTAATTTGCTACACTGCATTTAATTTGTTTTTTGGTTTTTCTGTTGTTGTTTATTGGATTAAACATGAGATTAAATTGACAAGGCACATATAATTGCTGAAGCATGTATCTTTGAGGAAATCCCAATGCAGGAAAAGGAATGGGTGAATGCCTTAACTGGCTATCTACTTGAGGGCTGCCCATCTCAACCATGACAGCTATAAATCATTTTAGCCAGGCCCGTAGCCAGGATTTCGATTCGGAGGGGGGGGGGGGGCTGAGTTTTTTTCAGGGGGGTTGGGGGGGGCTGAGTTTCGGGGGGGGGGGGCTGAGTCTGAATGAAAGAGGGTCTACCCTAGCAAACCTTTTGTATCATTACCCCAATACCCCCATGCATATGGGATATATTGAGTATGGTGATCAGATCATGATATGAATAAACATAACAGTTTAAATAATGCACCAGTAAGACCTTTTCACAAACCACCATGAGAATTTGGGGGGGAGGCTGAAGCCCCTCAACCCCCCCCCCTCCCCCGGCTACATGCCTGATTCTAGCAACAAGCAACAGAAAGCTATGGTCTGGGAAACAGCATGACTTGGGGTGCATCTGCACTGTAGAATGAATGCAGTTTGACACCACTTTAACTGCCATGGCGCAAAGCTATGGAATGAGGTGATTTGTAGTTTGGTGAGGCACCAGCACTTTTTATTAGAGAACAAAAGAATTTGTAAAACTCATTATTCCTTGACAGTTAACATCATGTCGGACTGTATTAACTCTAAAATGTAAATGCACTCTTAGCCAGCCTACTAAAAGATTACTTGCTTCCTATTTTGAGTTGTGTCTTATAAAATTATACGTCTGTGGGCAATGGTAATCTTTATATATATATTTTAAAAACCCTTATTGTATACATGCTACTCTGAGAGTTTTTTTATTGATAAGAAGATATAGATGCCATCTAACTCAGAAACCATTCATACTGCAGATTCATAGCAATTGACACCACTTTAATTGCCACGGCTCCATCAAATAGAATCCTTGGATTTGTAGTTTACTGTGGCACCAGAAGGAAGAATTCCATAGCATTGAGCCATGGCATTTAAATTTCTTTACGTCTGTGGTGTGGTACAGCCTACTTAATCTCTAACTAGTTGGGACTGGAAGAATTTTTAGATGGATGCAACATAAGGCTTAATAATATATGTGCTTTTTGGATAACTTTTTGGGAAAATGACTATTGTGCCAGCTTTCACTTATATTATTATTCTGTTATCTCTGTATTTACACTTTCATTTTTCCCCATTTATAGCTAATTGCTGAGTTTGATTGTTTTCATCATTCAATACCAAATAAATATTTTGCAGTTTATTTCCCGACACCAGACTTTTTTTGTTGCTACTTCCAGTTTACTTAAAGATGCTCAACACAATCTGAAAAGAGACACATAAAAAGGAAATTTCAAACTGGGTTGTTGTAGGTTTTTTTGGGCTATATGGCCATGGTCTAGAGCAGTGTTTCTCAACCTTCCTAATGCTGTGACCCCTTAATACAGTTCTTCATGTTGTGGTGACCCCCAACCATAACATGATTTTTGCTGCTACTTCACAACAGTAGTAATTTTGCTAATGTTATGAATAATCATATAAATATCTGATATGCAGGATGTATTTGATACAAATATGCGATATGCCCAAATTTAAATACTCATGAGAAAACAGAAAAAACTGTGTCTTCTGATGGTCTTTGGTGACCCTTCGGACATCTCCTCCCGACCCCCCCAGGGGTCCCGACCCCCAGGTTGAGAAACACTGGTCTAGAGGCATTCTCTCCTGACGTGTCGCCTGCATCTCAAACCTTTTCAAACCTCTCTTTTATCTTAGAAGAGAAAGAATCCCTCTTCCCTTCCCCAATTTTTCCTTCCCACATTCAGTTGTACTCAGTACCATCCTCTTTCCCTTCTCCACCACCCAGAAACTAAAGAATTTCAGAAGAAAGTCAGCCTGTGTAAAAGCCTTTGATTGCACAGATTATGAAAAACTACAGATCATACCAAGAGAAACTGGCATGCATCAATCCTTGATTGTCTTGATGTGCAGTGTGTGGTCAGGACAAGAGGCCACTGTCAGGACAATATGGGGAAACAGAATGGTTTCTCACTGGCCAGGCATCAGACAAAGTGTCCATCACCCTATCCATTGCATTTAAATGCAAAAATCAGGATTAGATTCAGAGGAAGAAGGCATGAAAACTGGAGGAAGGAACATGAGCAATTTAAGATAAGCAGGTGACACCATATCACTTGTAGAAAATAGTGAAAACTTGGAATTACTATTGAAGAAAGCCTTAAGTTTAGTATGATCATCCCTCAATATGTTCCCTTCCCAAATGCAGCTGCATTCAGATCCAGGGATTTAAGCTCTGAAAAACTGCTCAATGCAATACAATTTAGGGTAAGAGTGTAACCTTGCCTCCAGATATGGACCTCTATTTCAGCAAGAGATCACCATTTGTGTATTTGGTCAGCAGAATAAGCTGAGAACTCACCGCACAGGAACTCCTCTGGCTCTCAGCACACGATAATATTCCAGAGCTTGAAATGGAGATACTCGATGGTCCTTGGCACCCACACAGAGCAAAACAGGGTGCCAAGGACCGTTGAGTATCTCCATATCAAGCTCTGGAATATTATCGTGTGCTGAAAGCCAGAGGTGTTCCTGTGTGGTGAGTTCTCAGCTTATTCTGCTGACCAAATACACAAATGGTGATCTCTTGCTGAATCTGACAGAGAGGATGTAATTAGTGTGTGAATATTCTGAAGGAAAATCATCTGTGTGCGCACCTTCAAGTCACTTGTCAACATATGGTGACTCCATTAATTTTAAAAGGATTTCTTAGGCAAGAAGTGCTCGGTGTGGTTTTGCCAATTCTTTACTCTGAAATTAAGCCTACAGGACCTGCTGGTCTCCCACCAAAGCATTAACCATAACCCTACTTAGCTTTCATGATCAGATGGGATCTGGTGCCTTTAAGGCAGTTTCTCAAATGATGCTCCTCCAGATGTTTTGGACTTCTGCTCCCACTATTCTTAAGAGCTATTAAGCTGGGCTGGGATTTCTGGGAGCTAAAGTCCAAAACACTTAGAGGAGCAGAGTTTGAGAAACACTGCCTTAAAGTTTTTAGGCTTAAATACAAGCCCCCGGTGGCGCAGTGAGTTAAACCTCTGTGCCGGCAGGACTGAAGACTGAGAGGTCGCAGGTTCGAATCCGGGGAGAGCGCGGATGAGCTCCCTCTATCAGCTCTAGCTCCTCATGTGGGGACATGAGAGCAGCTTCCCACAAGGATGGTAAAACATCAAAAAACACCCAGGCGTCCCCTGGGCAATGTCCTTGCAGACGTCCAATTTTCTCACACCAGAAGCAACTTACAGTTTCTCAAGTCACTCCTGACACACACACACACACACAAAACACCAAACATGTTGGTAATTTGGCACTTGATTTCTTTATTTGCCAAGAACACATGGAGCAGGGGAAAGAGAAGGTAGAGGATGCTTGGGGAGCTTTATGATCCACCAAGCTAATGCAGGATGATGGCTATAATTTCACACATTTTTGTGGAACAGTATTTTTATTTATTGTAACTTTTTGTGAATACCATCAAACATGCATGTGATAAAATTGTATATACATCTTTGTCTGTACGCAGACATTGAGAAGGAAGGCCCTCTCTTTTGTTCCCACCAACTGAGCTTGAGATGGAGGTGGGACCAATAGAAGGAACTCTCCTGAAGATCTCAGGGCCTAAGTAGGTTTATATGTGGAGATACAGTCAGCCAAATACCCTGGAACTGTGTCGCTTAGGGCTTTAATAGTCATAACCAGCACTTTGAATTGTGCCCAGTAACAGACTGGCAGCCAGCAGAGCTGCTGAAACAGGAATGGGCAAACATTTTAACATGGGGGCCCTGGGCAGCCACGCATGCTTGCAAGGTCATTCTTTCAGCAGGACGCGGCAGACCGCTGTCTCCTTCTGCAAAGCAGAAAGAGGAAACTGCATCTATGCAAAAATTTGAAGATGTGAACTACCATTTGTGGATCAGAATTGCTTTGTTGTCCCCATCTCCAACACAGAAAGAGTGATGTGGGGAACTACACAAGGCTTGGAAATGTGGCTACAGAAGGTTGGAAGAAGAGTTAAGGTGCTGCTGACAGAAGATGATCGGATTGGATTAGAGGAGCAAAGTTGCAACACTTGCAACTCAGCAAGGCCCACCCTTTTTCCTTGAAGCCAAACACATAGAAATAGACGGCAGCAGACCAGAGCAAACCGTGAGTTTTGATATATTGCATTAAAGTATAAAATAAGTGCTTTCTTTTCTAAAGAAGTTGTAAGTGATGTATCAAGATAAGGCACTATAAGATCAGTACAATTTATTATATGCATGTAGACAAGCTCTAGATCAATCAGTTACTAAAACCTAGCAAAATCATTGAGAGACAGAAAGACCTATCACAAGTATTTCAGACAGCCATTATGGAAATGAGTAAGAGAGCCCTAACCATTTGCATAGTCTGATTCCAAATGCATTAAAAACCTGTTACCTTCACTTTCCTTCGTAGTTCAACAGTTTTCAGCAACTAAGTAAAGCCCACTGATACAGCAAGATGATCAAGAGCAGGAGATACGTCTTCTTCCCAGGCCTTATTGTTGTGGTATTTCTAGCTGACTTGGCTGTTGGTGGGCTCATCTCCAATGGATTTATAGTCAAAGTTATTATTAGTGAATGGATTTTAAACAAGCGTTTTACTGCCAATGAACAGCTTCTTCTGAGTTTGAGTATATCCAATTTCATCATCACAATTTTAATGATCACATCATTACTTCTCACAAACCAAGTGAACAGCTACTCAAGGTTTCGAGCATTAATTGCCTATAATTTTTCTGCCATATTCTTCAGATCCTGGCTCACCGTCTGGCTTTCTGTCTTTTATTGCATCAAGATCACAATCAGCACTCATTTCCTCTTCCTTTGGTGCAAATTGAGAATATCATGGCTGATACCCCGGCTTCTCGTGGGATCTGCAATTATCTCATTTTTTATTTCCATATATGCATTTCATGGTATTCTTATACTACCCTACAGAAACACCACAGTCAACAATACAAGTATGAGCCAAGAATGGAAACCAATACAGTTTGTTGATTCTTTCAGCGTCTTCTTTTTATCTGCTGGTTCTGCTTGTCCTGCTCTTATGATGGTACTTTTTTCCACTATAGTTGTTGTGTCACTTTGTAGGCACATCTATCGGATGACAGGGAAAGAATCCAAATTCAGGAATCCCCAAATGGAAGCTCATATCAAGGCAGCTGGGACAGTGATCTTGCTCCTGCTCTTTCATGTGTTGTTTTATTTGGCAGAAACCTTTAGTTTCACTATATGCTTTGGATCAAAACCTGCTGTTCCTTTGACAATACTGGCTATGCTTTATCCACCTGCTCAGGCAGCTATCTTGGTGTTGGTTAACCCAAAGCTAAAGCAGGCAGCTACTTGCATATTTCTAAAAATATCTCAGGAACAAACTAGACATATTGCTTGTTCGCATATTTAACCCTGCAACCTTAAAAACAATAAATACAGTCACCATGACCAAGGATAACTTAGGACTGAAAAATCAACACAAGGAATGTGGGAAGGGGGAGTGGATCCTTGCCCTGTGCTGTGTTCCCAGTTACTATCAGCTTTTTCAACACTTGCAGTTTGCAATGGCAGGAATATCACCAATAATGCAAATAGTGCCTTCTTCTGCTCTTGTAAACAGCAGTTATGATACATGATAGGAGTAGGTCAGCTAATCAAGGCAACAGTAGAAACAAATAATTAAAGCTTCCAACTCCTGACCATGTTCTTAATTAAACTTGTTTGTTACTAGCCTGGCTTTTAAAAAAAATCAAGGGTAGTAGGGCAATCTATATGGCTACTACCAGTTCCTCCACCTGAAAAGTGAATATTCTGCAACTGATAATAACTAAGTCCATGTATAATCTCCATGGAACCCAAAATGTCTAAACTGAATTATCACATTTTGGATGTATCGTGAGACTACAAGACTCAGTGGAAAATGTGATAATGATTTAAAATGCTGAAGGCAATAGAAGAGGGGGACCACATTAAGGATGAAGTGGTTCAATAAAGGAGGGTGCAGCTGAGAGTTTGCAAGACATGAACAGAGCTATTCATGTTCCGTCTTCCAGGAGCATGGTTTACGTTGCCTTTTAGCTGCATTGGATTACATTCCTTTGCATTTCCCAAGGGTTGCTATAGACCCAGCAGCACCCTGGAAGTTAAACAGTTTCAGAGTCTGGAAAGCCAGGCTGCGGGCTCTCTGCAGTTATTGGTTTAGAAAGTATCTCTTTGGGCTAGGAGTCCGCCCTTTTTCCTGGGGTTGAGATCTCCATTTTGGAATCTCCCCTGCCTCCTTCAGTAGAGAAAAAAGCCTCAGATGTGCTGTTGGTCAGACAGGCAAAGCTCTGAAAAGTCATTGTGAGTACAATTGAGATACTGAGATAGATAGATAGATAGATAGATAGATAGATAGATAGATAGATAGATAGATAGAATAGGAATTGAGTAATTAAGAAATTGAGTTATAGATAGAAATTGAGTTTTTGAGAAATAGAGAGAAATAGTTATTGAATACAATTGAGCATTACTTCATCTTCAAGGCTAACCTTGAGCTTAGATAAGGGAAGATCTGCTCTTTCTAACCATAGCAGCTCAGGGTTAGGGTGAAATATCCCAGGATTTTTTCTACCATTTGGAGAAAAGTTACCTCAGTAATTGAAAGGAAAGGAAATAAAGAACATCTCTATGGTTTCCCAAATTGACTGTTTGTGTTGTAACTTTATCAAGCTGTGCCAAGTCTGCCAAGGACTTTGGAAATAAATATTTTGTTGATGTTCATATCTTGACTGGCATCAGTTGCTGAAAGTACTGAGTTATTGCTTCAAAGAAAAACCCCCAGCGGTTCACCCAGATAAAGAGAGAAGCACATCTTAGTTTTAACGTTATAGGATCTGGGTGTGACGGCACAATTCAAGACCTGGGATCATGAAGGTATCTTTTTCATAAGGTCTGCATACGTCATGGTAAACATGATAGCAAACAATAACAATATTCAAGCAGTGGAAATATCATTGGACTTGTGAGTTCCACCACGGAGCAATACATTTTATGACACCAAAGTTGCTTCTCTGAATTTATTCCTAGAGAATGAAGGATTTTATCCAGTTTTGCAAACTGCATCTAATGCTAGTTCATGAGACTAAATTTTATATGTACTAGTTGATGTTAAACACAGAAACTGAAAAGGACAAATCCAGAGAAAGGGCAAATAAGCAATTGATTCATTTATCTCGGTAACTCAGGGAGTACTTTCAGATAGTGAGGGCCCCCTGTTCTTATCAAGCAAATGGTGTTGTGCATGTATGCTATTTTTTTTCTGGTTTAGGACCAAGCCATAAATAATAGTGGGGAAAGAGCGAATACTAGGAAATTGACACCAATGCCACTTGAACCCATGTAAAATTCTGTATTTGAGAAGGGTTTTCAGCAGAAATTGTAGAAGAGTTTTGAGCAGAAGTACTCTGATGTTTGACTGAGATTCACTGGGAGATTGCTACTCCAACTGGTCATAATCCAACTGGCAAGTGTAACTGAGACTACCTTTTCATTTGTTATCACTCAACTGTGGAATGATCTGCTAGAAGAGCTTTGACAGCTAAAACAGCTGTCAGAATTTAAGACATAACTGAAGACCCATCTCTTCTGGAAGGCCTACCCAGTCAATTTTAAGTTGTGAATTTGAATCTGCATTTTCATCACTGGGTTTTTAACTTATATTTCAACTTTGTATGTCTTGTTGTATCTGTTCTAATAGTGTTTTATCTCTTGTTTAAAAGATGTACCCCACCTTGAGCCCCAGGGAGAGATGGGCAATACATTGATATTTATTTGAAACACAAGATTAGTACACAGCAAACAAGATCACTATGCTTGCTGTTGTATTGGATCACAGGTTGGACACTACCCAAGTGTCTAGGACTGTGTGATGCATTGGCGAATAATGGGTGCAGATCCCAGTAGGGTGGCCTTTTGCAGCTGACAGATGGTAATTTTGTCAGTGCTGGCTGTGTTTAAGTGCAGGCCGAGGTCTTTAGGCACTGCACCCAGTGTGCTGATCACCACTGGGACCACCTTTACTGGCTTGTACTAGGGTCTTTGCAGTTCAATCTTTAAATCCTCATATTCTGTTTGCAATGATCCCACTGTCAGTAATTCTATAGAAAACAAACCTGGGCTACCAAACAGCAAGAAATTCACAATTTTTTTTCCACTTGCTGTACATGGATGATCTAAAGCTTTACAGAAAACCAGAAACTAAAATCCAGTCGCTGACCAACACAGTCAGAATCTTCAGCACTGACATCCGTATGCCTAGACAAATGTGCCACAGTGGCATTAAAGAAAGGGAAATTAAAGAAAGGGGATCATAACCAGGGGATCACACAGTGAAGACATCTGCCCTTGCGCTATGCTACTCTGCTGCTGAGTATGCATGCCCAGTGTGGAAAGCATCTCACTATGCTAAAACAGTAGATGTTGCTCTTAATGAGAAATGCTGCATTATCACGGGGTGTCTGCGCCCTACACCACTGGAAAAATTACACTGTTTAGCAGGTATTGCACCACCTGACATCCATTGGGAAGTAGCAGCCAATAGTGAAAGGATCAAGGCAGTGACATCTCCAGCTCATCCTGTTTGGATATCAGCCAGCATGTCAACGACTTAAATCAAGAAATAGTTTTCTAAGATCTACAGAGACACTCGCTGGAACATCCCAGCAAGCGAGAGTCCAAAAGTGGCTCAAACCCAGAACCTTAACCAATGGCTGATACCAAATGAGAGACTCCCCCCTGGGCACACAGAAACTCCCCCCTGGGTGACTTGGAAGGTGCTGAACAGACTGTACTCTGGCATCATGAGATGCAGAGCCAATCTTAAGAAATGGGGCTACAAAGTGGAATCCACGACATGCGAGTGTGGAGAAGAGAAAACCACTGACCACCTGCTGCAATGCAACCTGAGCCCTGCTACATGCACAATGGAGGACCTCCTTGCGGCAACACCAGAGGCACTCCAAGTGGCCAGCTAGTGGTCAACTACCAAGCTTGCAAACTTTGTGTTTTGTCTGTCTGTCTGTCTGTTTGTTTTGTTAAAAATGTAATACAAATGTCTGGTTGCTCCTGACACGATAAATAAATAAAGGGAAAATTATTCACAGCAAGGGCATAGAGATGCCAAACGGACAAACAGTAAAATGCAATCAGTTGGACAATATCAAGCATGGGCATGTGAAAAATATGGTCAGCAAATAATATGTCCAAAGGTCAGAAAGGTTTTGAAAAGCAAATTAAATGGTGGAAATATGATCAAGGCTATCAACACCTGGGCCATCCCCGTCATCAGTTGCACAACTACTAAATGCTAAAACTCTCTGCTTTTCTGTTGTAAGACATAACTAAAAATATAATCCACTATCATCACATTTTGGGGGTTAAAATGGCTTACTTCTCTCACAACCTGGTTGAAACAGCTAGCTCCAACTTCATGTATCCTGAGGTGAAAGTAAGGGGGAAATGTGCTGTTACTTCATCCATCAGTCAAAAGAAAAAGTGATACAAATTGCTCTTAAATTAAGAATCCTAACAAAGGTAGATCATCACAGCGCAAACTGCAGTTAAATGCTCACTTAATAGCTTCCAACCTTACTCTGGCTTGAAAATGTGATCCTTTATCTCTTCCTTTTCCTTCCACATCCATGTTTTTAAGCTTTCATTGTAGGGCTGCATTTATGAGAAGTTTTGGGAAATGATAACTGCTGGAAATATAAAGTTAAAGAAAACTGATGTATAGGAAAATGATTAGAAGATATTAGCAATATCAATAGATGACACGATCAGGAAAAAGTGTGTGCAATGGCACTACATGGAAGAATAATAGTGAATAGCAACTGCTTTATTGGGAAACTTGGGAAGGGAAAACTAGAATTTTGGCTTTTCTAGACATAATTTGAATCCCTGCTGGCAAATTTTCTCCGAGAAAACACTGTAATGATATGCCATCATGGCTATTTTCTTCATGCAAATATAGACTTTAAACAAACAACTGTAGAGCAGAGGTCTGTGGCAAAAATTTTACTTGCAATACAAAGTGTTATAAGGCAGTTTTATTTCCGAGTAGACTTGTACTGTTTGTTGCACCTGGTGTCACAGTAGTACTAGAAATTGGGAAGTCCTCAAAAACCAACAATTTGCTTGCTTGCCGGAAGGTAGAGAAGCAGTGTGAAGTCTGTATTGAAGCCTACATACCATTTGTGGCATATATATTTTCATATGCTCTTTGCTTTTCAACACTGTTAGGCTTCAGCTTTTAAGGATAGCTGCTGACTTCCAGTATCTGCTTCCACTGAGAGGTGATGCATAATCCACTGTGCACAATGAATAAAAACATCTGCTTTGGCCTCCACACTACTTATGGCATGATTTTCTTCAGGATACCACAGGAGGCTGCAAAAATAATAACAAAAAATTTACAAATTTCTATATGGAGCAGAAAGTTATTGCCTGAGCATAGGGTCTTTATGGTGGTATTTTCTGCCCCATCTCTTTTCCTCCCCTACCTTTCTTCGGGCCCTGTGAATAGTGGTTTGAGTGTTGGACTACAGACATTATCTCACAATGCTGCTAAAATTGGTTCTTCCATCACAAACCCATTTTGCTTGCTTAGCCCCTCTCCTTAAAGTGCCAAGTCTTATTGAAAGTACTTTGAGAAAGCTCCAAGAATATTTATCTCACCACAGCTGCAGGGACATTATTCATCCCAATCAATGAATTCCCTGTCTTCAAACATGCCTCCCCCCCTTTTATTTCTGTGAAAATTGTGGCTTGGAGTGTTAAACCTCTTTAATTCTGGATTTTTAAAGTACCAAAACACTGTTTATTTAAACACTTCAAATATTATATTAATAAAAAATTAATTAAGCAGTTTGCAATTAAAAGTGTTTCCCATTTTGTTTATTCTGCAAGGGGGAGATCAGGTCCCCCTCTATCCATGGAATCCCTTCACATATTTTTATTAATATTTCTATATTTCATATCTTATATAAAACTTTTAGAGAAGCTTAGCCACTAACAAAGCCTTGTGATGACTTTTTCACTGTAACATTTCCCGACTTGGGAAGGCCAGCCATTTGCCTCCCGGAGATTCATCTGCATGAGACCAGATGCAATCGCCCATCACCTCTGGACTGTTCCATTATCCCCAGACCACGACTTCCAGCTGCACGGAGGAAAATAGGATCCCTTAGATGATCAGCCTGCCTTTGTCCCAGCAGCCTGGACAGATGGCACACTCAACACCTAGCATGACCAAGCGAGCATCCCCAGGAAGTTGCCAATTACTCCTACCAACATGGACCATGTCTCTGTCTTTTGAACTCTGTGGGTCCCGGTGCCAGAGTCGCAGCACCCATTCACTGTAAACCCAGATATCAATCATACTGACAGTAATAGGCACCTGAGGCTGGATGGTCCCTTTAATGGGACCAAGTAACACATTCACAAATACTTTCAGAACCATTTCCTCATGGACTTCTCTGCTCCGCTTCAGCCATTGGACAGAGGCTCATTTATATTGGAGGCGAGAAGCACTTCCCCATTGGCCGGCGAGGCCACAGTCCTGCCCCTGCAGAGAGGCCTCCTTGGTGTCATTAGAGCCCAGACAATCCTGTTGAGGCCAGAACAGCTGTGTGGGAGTGGGAAATTCAAAATGAAGTGTATAAAATGTCTGTCTTTGCAATTTTGGGGCTCTCAGATTACTTTGACGGATTACTGCAAGCTGACATCTCTGTCACCTGATTGAATAAAAACTTCAATGGCTTCTTCTTCAACTTCGTGAGCTTTATTTCAGCAGATCAGGCTTCTTCACTCACCAAGCACACAGACTCATTAAGATGGCTTAGTGCTGGTGTTGGTTGCCACTTATCAGACCCTTGCCTTAGGTTTCAGTATCCACAGCCTGGATCTCTCTATCTGTGACCATTTTAATTTTCACACTGACGTCTTCCAATGTCTGTCTGTCTGTCTCCCTTATTGTCCCTGCTTCTAGTTCTTTTTTATTAATAATTTTAAATGTTTTCCTTCTCTTTCTAGCTTCCCTCAAGGAAGCTTCAGGCTCCATTTATTTTTCCTTAGAGGAGAAAAAAAATCCCCCTTCCTTCCCCCTCATTCTTACCCTATTCACTTTTACTCAATATCATCCTCAGAAACATATGCAGGCTCTTTAGGTACCAGTTTTTCTGAGGATGTTTCTTTTTCTCCTCTCTCTTATCCTGTTATACTCTTTAAACAAAATCTCTAAAATACTGTAAACATGAATGGGGTGAAGAAACACACTGAAGAATTTCAGAAGAAAATCAGCCTATGTAAAAGCCTTTGATTGCGCAGACCATGAAAAACTACAGATCATTCCAAGAGAAAAAGGCATGCATCAGTCCTTGATTGTCTTGATGTGCAGTGTGTGGTCAGGACAAGAGGCCACTGTCAGGAAAGAATATGGGGAAACAGAATGGCATCAGACAAAGCACCCATCACCCTATCCATTACATTTACATGCAAAAATCAGGATTAAATTCAGAGAAAGAAGGCATGAAAACTGGAGGAAGGAACATGAGCAATTTGAGATAAGCAGATTACACCATATCACTTGTAGAAAATAGTGAAAACATGGAATTACTATTGAAGAAAGCCTTAAGTTTAGCATGATCATCCCTCAATATGTTCCCTTCCCAAATGCAGCTGCATTTAGATCCAGGGATTTAAGCTCTGAAAAACTGCTCAATGCAATACAATCTGGATAAGCGTGTAACCTTGCCTCCAGATATGGACCTCTATTTCAGCAAGAGATCACCATTTGTGTATTTGGTCAGCAGAATAAGCTGAGAACTCACCGCACAGGAACACCTCTGGCTCTCAGCACACGATAATATTCCAGAGCTTGATATGGAGATACTCGATGGTCCTTGGCACCCACACAGAGCAAAACAGGTGCTTGTACCTGTCAGAAAGGAAGTAGTCAGTGTATGAATATCGTGAAGGAGATGCATCTGGTCACTTGCGTATGTGTGCACCTTCAAGTCACCTGTCAACGTATGGTGACATGAATTTTAAAAGGATTTCTTGGGCAAGAAATGCTCAGTGTTGTTTCACCAGTTCCTGAAATTAAGCCTACAGGACCTGGTGTTCTCCCACCAGAGCACTAACCAGAGTGGATCTTGCTTAGCTTTCATGATCAGATGGGGCTTGGTGCTTTAGGGCATTTAGGCTAGGAGCCGGTGGCATGATAATTGATTTCTTTATTTGGCAAGAGTACATGGAGAAAGAGAAAGCAGAGTTATGCTTGCAGAACTTTATGAACCTTATAGCCAATACAGGGTGTTAGCTATCATTTTATGGTACAATATTTTGATATACTGTAACTTTTGGTGGATACTGACATATGATATTAAAATTGCGTTTACTTCTTTGTCTGTTTGCTGAAAATTCAGGAAGCATATTCCATATACTGTAAGATCCCAGTATACATGGGACTGGCACCAAATGTTCTACACAGCATGTTATCTTCGGGCATTTTCCAGATCATTTTCAATTAGGAGGGGACCCTATAGTATTCTTTCATCAGAAGTCTTTTATTCCAATAGGTTTGCTATGATCTGTTTTCATGCATCAATAAAAAGTCTAGGAATGTATCTGCTATGGATACAGGGGTTGTACTTTGCAAGAAAATCAATTATTTATTATTTATTAATTTTGTTTATTTATAAACAGTTCCAGCCCAGTTTACCTGTTTGAATGTATCTCCCTCTATGAACCACCTTGGAGATTAAGATTTTCTGGGGAGGCCCTGTTCTTGGTTCCACTTTCGCAAGCATGACTGGTGGGGATGAGAGACAGGGCTTTCTCAGTGGTGACCCCTCATCTGTTGAATTCCCTCCCCAGTGACATTAGATCAGCCCCCTCCCTCTTAATCTTCAGAAAGAGAGTAAAAACCTGGCTGTGGGATCAGGATTTCAGAGAAGCAGTGCAATAATATAATATAATTGGAATACATGCAATGACTACAGAATGGCCTTAGATTACAACTTTTGGATGGCATGTTTAAATAATGAATATAATTTTAAATGTATTATATGTACTACTTTTAAATCCAATTGTTTTAAGCTTAATATTTATATGTGTTTAAGGCACTGAATAATTGCCATATGTAAGCTGCCTTGAGTCTGCCTTGGGGTAGAGAAAGGTGGGGTATAAATAGGGTAAATAAATAAATTATCCTTTTTCTCTCCATACGGAGACTGAAAGCAGCACACAACTACAAGCATTTCAGTACAACCTAAAGTATACAAATATACAAATATTAAAACAGTATTGAACAACATTAATATTTTAAAAACTCCAGGCTTAAACCCTAAAAGCACATAAAATCACATCACAAAATCACAGCAGCCCTTGATGGTCTTAAAACACCTTCATGTTTAAAAACCTGCCTGAATAAAACGGTTCTAGCCTGCTGTCGGAAGTACAGCAAAGAGGAGGGGACCATTCTGGTTTCCCTAAGCAGGAAGTTCTAGAGTCATGGGGCAGCTACCAAGAAGGCCCCGCTCTCTCATTCCCACCAACCATGCTTGCGATGGAGGTGGGACCAAAATGGCCTCTCCTGAAAATCTCAGGTCCAAGAGAGGTTCGTACAAGGGGATGCAGTCAGCCAAATAGCCTGGACCTGAACTGTCTATGATTTTAAAGGTCATAACCAGAACTATTAGTGCTGAATGGGCTAGAATTTTTTAAAGACTATAGTGCATCTGAATTTTGAAATTCAGATTTGGGGCTATTGCAATATTAGTACTGTAGCAAGTGAGTATTTGGGGGAGTTCATGCAGCCCTGCATGTGACACAATGACACAACCCACAAGATATTTACTTAGTAGGGCTACATATGAAAGAGTCAAATAATGGTTCCATCACCTTGCTCTTACCTTTGCAGCATGAATTATGGGGGAACTGAGCAGCATGGTAGCCAGATCCACTTCTGTGGGAATCCGCTCAGAGAAGTAAGGCAGACCCAGAGCTGAATACCGCCTGCGGAAATTATGTAGCCCATTGGTGTAGCATTTGAATTTCTGATCTCTGCCAAACAATCCAAACCTTTGACAGCTGTAAATGTGGCATTTGTGGAGGGGATCAGTGAGAACGGAGGGAACTTGTAAAAGGAAAGGTGAGGGGATTAGGAAGGCTGATTCATGAGATCATACACAAGGCTATGAGAGAGATGGTAACAGGTTAACTTGGGGAGAAGATAAGCAAGATTTGTAGGTTGAGTGCCACAGAAGAGTTCAGGAAGATGGAGTCCTTACCAGTCAGGGATGTCAGAGGTCCCCAGTAGAGTAGCCATGTTGATGACAGGGCTTCTCACTGCACAGGCTTTGTACATGTCTGGATATCGGCCAATCAAATGACAACAGATGAACCCACCATGAGAGCCTCCTAACAGGGCAATTCTCTTTGGATCCAGAGTTCCCATCTGCAGGGCTAATTCCACTGCCAGCTGTAAGAGCAAGAAAGACAGACGGTCAGACAGGATGTCAGAAACCACTACACACACATATTAGATAAGAAGGTATACATAAGGAAGGTACAATTTGCAGGGAAAGGACTAAAGAAAAAGTGTGCCCATATGGCTCGTCTGCTAACCCAAACCAGCTTCATTCATTAATTCATTATTTCAAAAAACCTAATTCTTCCAAAGTTTTAAATAAATAATAATAAACATATGGACACCTTGTTGTGTCTATGGCTTGTAATAAAGATTGGTTGTATACAAAAACGTATTGACACGCACACCAAAAGAGAGAGAGAGAGAGAGAGAGGACAAAAAGAAGCTGCAATGTATAAAATAAGACAGGTTGGGGCTTTTAAAATATTTTTTCTTTTATCTTATTAGATCTTTCCTGAAAATGAGGATGGCAACTGAAAAGATTCCGGTTAGCACTGGAAAAAACTGAGTCCTTGTCAAAGATCTCCCAGCTTTGCATGTGATTCCTGAGATACGAGAGCAGTGATTTTAAGTTAACATTGTCTTCTAGCAAAGACCTCAGGATCTGTGTTTAAAAGTGTTATTCCATTTAGAACTAAACAAATTGCTCATGGATCGGAAAATAATTCTAGGAAAATAAAGTGCACAGGGCTCTCTGAAATGCAGGGACACTCTAAAAAAGCAGGAATGAGAGATCTTTGACAAATACAAGAACATTGGATACTAAAATTCCAGATTTTTTGTAGTGTTTTTTAAGGGAAGCACTGTCATAACCTCCCAACCATCTTTCTTGAAAATGCTAAAAAATGGCCAGGACAAACAAAAATGTAACAAGTTGATAGCCAAACATTTAAGCATGGAAGGGTGTGTGTGTGTAATTTTTCAATAATGTATCCACATTTACGCCCTGAACCTTGGGAAGAACCATACTGATAGCACTGCCCAATTAAAGACTGATCATTAATCTTGCCTCCATGGTGAGTTGCTCTACTAATCATATGCAGTTGACACTTGCTCCATTGGGCTTTTCCTGGCTCTCTGGCTTGTGTGACTGACTGGTTCTATAATGGTGTTCTTCCATATTTTAGGTATGAGTCACATCTTCATATGCATCCAAACACATTCATACACATGAAAATTGGGATAGGATGTTTCACTTGCCGTTTTGAGCTTTGTGGTCTTTCAACAAAGGGAAAATCAGCTTTCAAAATTGAACTAGCCATATCACATCTCTCCACTCACATACATGACTCACTAACATCTTGATGGATATTGACAAAGACATGGACTGAAATGTTTCATTACTGCTGATGGATTCAAGAACAGGATATGCTCATGCCCAGCAAGAAAAACCTGCATGAGTCCATCAAGCTGGTTGGAATGGTATTGCAAGGACCTCACATACTCAAGTATAATGTGAGCCAAAAATAGATGGTGTGGGAGAGATGCTCATAGTAGACCATAGTAGAATCCAAATAGCATCACAATATATGTGATTATGGCTTCTCCTCTCCATTTAAAGGGGAAACTGGTTAGAAATAGGGCAAGATCACATGCAGTGTAATATCATCCTTTATCCCTTTGCTAGTCAAAACTGGGCTTGCCCTTACACAGAATAAGAAAAGAAAAAAGCGGGGCTGACCTGAGTGTCTTCCACATCTTGTACACCAACGTGGGAGATCAGTGAGTCGATGCTAGCCTGGCCAAAACCCAGGGAGCCTCTGTAATTCACTGCTCAGAAAAAGGCAAGTCAAAAAAGTTGAGTGGGAGATGTCCTCAAGAAGATGTGCAGAGCTCTTCCTGATCTCTAGGTTGGTTTACAAGTAGTTGCCACCATAGCTTCCCCAAGCTCCTTCCTTGAAGGTTTTTAAACAGAGGCTGGATGGTCAACTGTTAGGGGTACTTCAACTGTACTTTTCCTGCATGGCTGGGAGGTTGGACTAGATGGCCCATGTGGTCTCTTTCAGCTCTATTTTTCTATGGTTTTATGATCTTACTGCACTACTGATGAGGCAAGTAGTTAATAAACTTACAGTACAAGGACTGCCCATGCTGAATGTAAAACTATTACTAACCAAGTACAAAGTGGCATGTTTCTTTAGACCAGGGGTTCTCAAACTTTTTAAACAGAGGGCCAGGTCACCGTTCCTCAAACTGTTGGAGGGCCAGATTATAATTTGGAAAAAACATGAATGAATCCCTATGCACACTGCACATACCTTATTTGCAGTGCAAAAAACACTTTAAAACAATACAATAATTAAAATGAAGAACAATTTTAACAAATATAAATTTATGAGTATTTCAATGGAAAGTGTGGGCCTGCTTTTGGCTGATGAGATAGGATTGTTGTTGTTATTGTGTGTTTTCAAGTCATTTCAGAATTAGGTTGATCCTGAGCAAGGGCCGGGTAAATGACCTTGGGGGGGGCCATATCCGGCCCCCGGGCCTTAGTTTGAGAACCCTTGCTTTAGACTTCTTATAGCAGAATTACAAAAACTGAACGGAATTTACTGATAAGTGCAAGCCACTCTTTCTGCCACTCTTTTCTAGCTTTGGATGTCCAGATTTGTCAAATCAGTTTCTTCTAATGTCTCAACTTCAAAAACAATGCTTTAAGGGATGCCCAGAAACCAAGTTTGATCCTAGTTTCTTTCAGTCTCAGGATAATATAGCAAAGAAAAATCATTTACAGAAGGAATAGACAAGATAAAGATTCAGCCTGGGGTTTCAGGAGCCCACACATTGCTTACTTTACAACCTCAGCAGAAAGTGGGCATCAAAGCAGAGGAAGATCAAAAAGATAATGAGAATGGGGCGAGGTTTCATGCGAGTAATTAAAGGATGGAAATATTACTGCTTGGACTGCAATTCCCAAAATTAGTTAGTTTAAAGGATTATAAAAGTTGTAAGTCTAAAAAGTGACTTTTCCAAGTTCTAAGAACGGAATTATCCCACAAAGTGGCATTATGTGGTACATTATGCCTCTATTGGCCTTTTTGGTTTATATCTGAGCAGTCTCAGACTGCTGCTGCTGCTGCCACAGGGGTCCTGAATCCTTCCATCCAGCTTGGCTGTTCCCTGGACTACTTGTGAGTAGGAGAAGCCCCAGGCCCTTTCCAACTGGGTATGACTCAGCAATCCTCCAAGGAGGGAGTGACTATAAAGCTGTGTTGCACCTGCCTTGGCCTAGTCTCAGACTGCTGCTGCCACAGGGGTCCTGAATCCTTCCAGTCTAAACGTAAAACCAGAAGCTCTGCCCGCTCGTGACTCAGTGATTTTTAGTACAATCCTCAGAGCTCTATGCTAAAGAACTGGACACTCATTCCTTCACACTGCCCTCTGTGACCAAGATAATAAGTGTAAATAACATCCTTCACACATCGGGTAACCTGCAATTTGTGCTGCTAACTAGCAAGAACTGCACCTATTGTCTTCACTACTGCACTTTGTGTCATCTCCGCACAAGACGGTCAAGAAGAACCGGGGCCTGGCCTTGGGTGCCGGCTTGTTTGCTCCACGGGCCCAAGGAGCCGGGTTCTTTGGTGCAATTTGTCTGTCTTGTTGAATGGTTTGAAAGTGAATTTACTTATAGAAGACAATTTTTTTGCATTATTTTGCACTATAGAACTATCTCAGCACGAAATCACTTTTATCTAAGCACTTTAGATCCCCTGCCAGAACCCATACCATTACCAAGTGGTCCAAAGTATCAGATCAAGTAGCTACAACTATTGCACTTTATGTTTCGAACTCTGGGTTCCCACACCATCACCTGAAGTTAACTACATATACTAGTAACATCAGTATATTACCTCTATGTTAATGTTTACTTTATCCTTGCTGCTATTGATATTCCTCCAACCTCCAGCACAAGTGCACTTTATAATAACCTCAGCACAAGTGCACTTTACAGCCTTTGCCATACTGGAAGGAATAGGTAGCACTAAGGGGTGGGAATATTGGAACCCAGAGACAGATAACCATAACTATAAGCATGCGTCGAGTATTGAGATCACAACTACTGGAAATGGAGGGAGCGTTCCCGGGGGGTGTGGGGCTACGGGTGGGGTGGCCACCATAGAGGTGGTGACTGGTAGAGGGAGATACGGGAAAGGGAGAACAAAACATCGATTTTGGCCCAAAATTTACAATGACAAATTGGCAACCTCTAAAGACGTTAGAAATCAAAGACAAAAGCAAATTCGGCCCAAAATTTTCAATAGGACATTGGCAACTCCAAAAATTACCACTACTATTCGGCCCGAAATTAATAAAAACAGATTGGCAATTCCAAAATCTTCTCCTGACAAAATACAACTGAGGTGCCAGGATGGTGGCCCCTCCAAGCTAAAGGTGGTGCTGCTCAATGCCAGGTCGGTGAATGGAAAAACTTCCATTATTCAAGATCTAATTCAAGAAGAACGAGCTGACCTGGCTTGTATAACAGAAACCTGGCTGGACGAGGGGGGAGGGGTTAATCTCTCCCAACTCTGTCCACCAGGCTATTCTGTTCAGCACCAACCAAGGCTTGGAGGGCGGGGAGGCGGAGTCGCAGTGGTCTATAAGGATTTTATCCCCTGATCAGGTGTCCCATCCCACAATCATCTTCTTTTGAATGTGCCGGCTTTAGGATTGGTGACCGGGACAGGATAGGGATTCTGTTAGTGTACCGACCACCCCGCTGCACTACAGTCTCCTTACCTGAGCTAGCGGGAGTGGTCTCGGACATGGCGTTGAGCTTCCAACGGCTTCTGGTCTTGGGAGATTTCAACGTCCATGCCGAGGCCTCTCTTTCTGGTGCAGCTCAGGACTTCATGGTTGCCATGGCAACCATGGGCCTGTCCCAGCTAATATCTGGTCCCACCCATAGTGCCGGGCACACCTTGGATTTGGTCTTTGTCCAGGGATGGGATGAAGGTGACAGGATGGAGAAGCCGACCATCGCTCCATTGCCATGGACCGATCACCACCTGATCAGTTTTAGACTAACTGTGCCTTCTAACCTTCGCAGGGGTGGTGGACCCATTAGAATGGTCCGCCCCAGGAGACTTATGGATCCAAATGGATTCCTGACGGCTCTTGGGGATTTTTCCACCTCCTTGGCTAGCGACACTGTCGATGCTCTGGTCTCTCGCTGGAATAGTGAGTTGACCAGGGCAATTGACACAATCGCTCCGGAACGCCCCCTCTCGAGTAACCGAGCTAAACCAGCCTCTTGGTTTACTGAGGAGCTGGCAGCGATGAAGCGAAAGAAGAGGAGGCTAGAGTGCGTGTGGCGCCAGAACCCCACCAATCCAGCCCAAGAGGAGCTGGCAGCGATGAAGCGAAAGAAGAGGAGGTTAGAGTGCGTCTGGCGCCAGAACCCCACCAATCCAGCCCAAACACACCTGAATGCCTTCTTAAGGTCCTATGGTGTGGCAATAACGGCAGCTCAGAAAACATTCATCACAGCCAATATTGCATTAGCAAAGAATCGTCCAGTGGAGCTTTTCCGAGTTGTCAGGGGCCTGTTAAATCCGCCAAAAGGCGAGGCCTCGGACAACTCGGTGGCTCGCTGTGAAGCATTTGCTCGATCCTTCACGGATAAAATTGAGCGGATTCGGTCGGGTTTTGACGTCATGTTAACGGCAGTCTCTGGGGATGTAACGAGAGCATCTGCTTGTCCAGTTTTGTTGGATTCTTTTCAATTGGTTCAGCTTGAGGATGTGGACAGGATCCTTGGAGAGGTGCGACCCACCACATGCATCCTAGACCCCTGCCCATCCTGGCTGATTAAGGAAGCCAGAGGGGGATTGGCAGAGTGGGTGAAGGTGATGGTTAATGCCTCCTTACAGGAAGGAAAATTTCCAGCGAGCTTAAAGCAAGCTATTATAAAACCGCTGTTGAAGAAACCATCACTGGATCCCACTCAATTCGACAACTATCGGCCAGTTTCCAATCTCCCTACTTGGGCAAAGTCATGGAACGTGTGGTGGCAACACAACTCCAGGGGTTTCTGGTAGACACTGATTATCTGGATCCGGCACAGTCTGGCTTTAGGCCGGGACATGGAACTGAGACAGCCTTGGTCGCCTTGGTAGATGATCTTCGCAGGGAACTGGACAGGGGGAGTGTGTCCCTGTTAGTTCTGCTGGACCTCTCAGCGGCTTTCGATACCGTCGATCACGGTATCCTTCTGGGTCGCCTCATGGATATGGGGCTCGGGGGCACTGCTTTGCAGTGGCTCCGATCCTTCCTTGAGGGACGGACCCAGAAGGTGTTATTGGGTGACACCTGTTCGGCCCCACAACCGTTGTTGTGTGGAGTCCCACAGGGTTCAATTCTGTCCCCGATGTTATTTAACATCTACATGAAGCCGTTGGGAGAGATCATTCGGAGTTTCGGAATGAGATGTTATCTCTACGCAGATGATGTCCAAATCTGTCACTCCTTTCCACCTGTCACCAAGGAGGCTGTCCAGACCTTGAACTGGTGTTTAGCTGCTGTATCGGACTGGATGAGAGCTTACAAATTGAAATTGAATCCAGACAAGACAGAGGTCCTACTGGTCAGTCGTAAGGCCGAACAGGGTATAGGGTTACAGCCTGTGTTAGACGGGGTTACACTCCCCCTGAAGACGCAGGTTCGCAGCTTGGGAGTGATCCTGGACTCATCGCTGAGCCTGGAACCCCAGGTCTCAGCGGTGGCCGGGAGAGCTTTCGCACAATTAAAACTTGTGCGCCAGCTGCGCCCGTACCTTGGGAAGTCAGATCTGGCCACGGTGGTCCACGCTCTTGTCACATCCCGGCTGGATTACTGCAACGCACTCTACGTGGGGTTGCCTTTGAAGACTGCTCGGAAACTACAACTAGTCCAGTGAGAAGCAGCCAGATTGCTCACCGGAGCGACGTACAGGGAGCATACAACCCCCCTGTTGCGTCAGCTCCACTGGCTGCCGATCCAATTCCGAGCACAATTCAAAGTGCTGGTTTTGACCTACAAAACCCTATACGGTTCCAGCCCAGTGTATTTGTCCGAACGGATCTCCCTCTACGTCCCACCTCGAAGCTTAAGATCTTCTGGGGAGGCCCTGCTCTCGACCCCGCCACTGTCACAAGTGAGGCTGGCGGGGACGAGGAGCAGGGCCTTCTCAGTGGTGGCCCCCCACCTGTGGAACTCACTCCCCGGGGAGATTAGATCGTCATCTTCCCTTTTGGCGTTTAGGAAAAAACTGAAGACCTGGATCTGGGATCAAGCCTTTGGTCATTCTGACAGCTAACTGAAGGATCTGATGATAGACAAGGACAAATGGAATGGAATGGATATATGGACTCTGAACCTGAGCATGAGACTGTTTTATTATTTTATTATGTACTGATGTTTTTAATTAATTGTTGAATTGTTTGTATTTGTATTGCTTGTGAATTGTTTTGGGCATCTAATTGTGCCCCCACTGTAAGCCGCCCTGAGTCCCCCCCGGGGTGAGAAGGGCGGGGTATAAGTAAATAAATAAATAAATAAATAAAATTTCCATGGTTGTCTCATCTGCTTGAGCCATTTCATAAGGAAACATTTATTAAATTCTTTTTTTTTTTTTGGCCAGGATACACAAAGACAATTTTGCCCTCCTTTGATCATGGGTGGAACCACTGAGCTGCTGAACTTGATGATGGAAAGGTCGGCGCTTTAAATCCGGGGAGCAGAGTGAGCTCCTGCTATTAGCCCCAGCTTTTGCCAACCTAGCAGTCTGAAAACATGTAAATGTGAGTAGATCAATGGGTACAGCTCCAGTGAAAAGGTAACTGTGCTCCATGCAGTCATGCTGGCCACATGACCTAGGAGGCAATGCTATGGACAATGCTGGCTCTTTGGCTTAGAAATAGAGATGAGCACCAACCTCCAGAGTCGGACACAACTAGACTTAATGTCAGGGGAAAACCTTTATCTTTATCTGGATCATTTTGTATACGCAACAGGTAAAGGTATTGCACAGGAAGTAAACTGAACCAGCTCTGCAGGACTGTAGATAAAGCATCTGGTGGAGGCCGGAGCGGGAGGGAGAAAACTGAGCCTCATGAGCCTCAATGATCCTCCCAGGGAATCTCAGTGTTATCTTCTATAGCATCACCCCCCTGTCCCATCCACTACATATCTGCATAAAAAATACATGCTGGATAGGGTTTTAGAATAGTGAGTGTAAAAAATGAATGATGCTTGAGCTACTCACCCATGAGCACAGCAAAGCCCAGCTGGCAGAGGCATGCCATGGTTGGATCCCAACAAGCATCAAAAACAGCATGTGGGCCACCTGGAAACAGAATGATAACAATACAAAAAAGGACTAGGATATCTCCCGGTTTGGAAGAAGAGGCCTAAGAAGTTAAGCAGCATTGCCTCATCAGGACCTGAGAGATACAGGATCGGGGAAAAAGAGAGTCTTGGCAAAAGGCTGAAAGTATTGATCTGGATTGGTTCTGAGCATGGAAATACATGGAATTCCTTCAAACTTCAGAAAGAATTCAGAATTCCTTCCTAAGAATAAAATAAAATAAAATAAAATGGAATTATGAACACCTTTAATGGTGTTCTTATAAAATTTGGAAATAAGTTGGGAAGCATGGACTCAACCATCAAACAAGTGAAGCAATGAAAAACAGCTGTTATAACTCACCATGTGGGGAAACAATAAGCGGAAATGTCTTTACTCCTTCTTTGCTTACTTCAGGTCTCAGCAACACAGCTTCAAATGTCTGATCAGCTGCAATAAAGGACATACATTTCATGTCAAGCACCACCCAGAGATAGATTTATTTGGTAATTTTCTTCTCAAAGGGAGCAATTAATAATTTTAACAATTTTCTGCACATGTAACAGTCTTTTCTGCAATAGCTAGCCCAAGAGATTTTGATTCTGAAGGAAAAAACTCAAATCCCAGCCACAGCTCTACTAAAATAATATGGCAATAACTTTAGAACCACAACAACCTGCTTGCCTTTGTTATGCACCATATCTCTGCTTATGGTACTGATGCATTCTGCTTCCTACTAAGCCAACACAAATGTTCTGCCTGGGTAATCTGAGCTGTCTGACAAACAATGCTTTAGACCTTCTCTGTTTTGTAATAGCCAGTGGGGCTCTAAAGACCTTCAATGTTGGTCACTTGTGAATTAAAGTACAAGAAGGGAGAAGCTATGAACTCCAAGCCTACAAAACAATATATGCAACACAAAGTCTTTCCTGTTTAGGTTCTTGTAGGTTTTTTCGGGCTATAGGGCCATGTTCTAGAGGCATTTCTTCTGACGTTTCGCCTGCATCTATGGCAAGCATCCTCAGAGGTAGTGAGGTCTGTTGGAAATAGGAAAATGGGTTTATATATCTGTGGATATATAAACCCATTTTCCTATTTCCAACAGACCTCACTACCTCTGAGGATGCTTGCCATAGATGCAGGCGAAACGTCAGGAGAAATGCCTCTAGAACATGGCCCTATAGCCTGAAAAAACCTACAAGAACCTAGTGATTCCAGCCATGAAAGCCTTCGACAATACATCTTTCCTGTTTGTTTGCTACAGCTCAAACTTGAATCTAGGTTCAGTGATCTCTTAAATGTCCATCTTGTATTTGGGTTGCTTCAAAACTTGGAACATATTGATGGATTTATCTGTTTTTAAAATTTGCCAGCTGTCAAGAAATTAATAAAAGGTGCAGTATCCCTATGCTGTAGCCCTCAGGTTGTGCTCCTGATCTCTTATATGCCACCCATCCAAATCTTTTTTTAAATCATTTAAGGCTTTGTTGCTTTGTTGCTGTTGTGTGCCTTCAAGTCATTTTTGACTTGACTTGTCATGACTGAGGCAGAGTGTGTGGTACTTGCCCAGGGTCACCCAGTGGGTATCCATGGCTGAGTGGGGATTTGAAACCTGGCTGCCAGAATCATGGTCAAACCATTACACCATGCTGGCTCTTACTGTAGGTCTACCCAACCACACGAAATTCTAAACAATTAGAGAATGAATCAGAGTTATGGATCTGGATTGAAATTCCATGCCACAGTTTCCTTACTGTAAGGACTGCCTTCCTGAGACACTGGAGGGTGCACTGTCAGGATCTGCCATTCCATATTGGGCAATACAGAAGCTTTCTCCACAGTTATCCAGTGTAGTCCAGGTTCATTCCCAGTAATAGGAAGCATACCCACCTTCTACAAAGCAGATATAATATTTTGTTATTAGAATCACTAGATAGAAATGTTATATATTCTAACAGCATATCTTGGCATTTTAGTGGCCTACATTTATGTTTGATTTGTCCTCAATGTTTTCTGTAGCTATTTAAAATCACACACAATTTTCTTATTTGGTTTGTTCTTTTACACCTTTATACAAATGGTACAACAAATAATGATCTGTTAAGCTGAGACATGGTTTGTTTGTATGTTTGAACATATGTCAGATCACTTGGCAAGCCATGATTTTCATAACAAGCTATAATTCAAAACTAAATGGCAAATTGATTTGTGCTAACTGTAGTCCCTCATATGTAACAGTAATATGAGACCTGCAACATGTTGCCACCATTTGAACATTATGGAAAAGGGTACTGCAATAGCATTCATTTATTATTGGTCTCTATTTATTTTATGAAATTCTAAATGGAAGTCTGTGGCAACTTCAGGGCTTAGCACAGCAGGCTAAACCACTGTGCTGTAGAAAAATCATACTGATCGAAAGGTCAGCAGTTCGATCCCAGGCTGGGGTGAGCACTTGCCGTTTGCCCCAGCTCATCTGCCCACCTAGCAGGTTGAAAGCAGAAATGCGAGTAGATAAATAGGTACTGCTTTTAGCAGGGAGGTAATAAAGGCGCCCTTAAGGACATCAATCGATCAAAGGAAAGCTCCTCGGCATGGAAGATGGAGCGACACCCCCCCCCCCATGGCTGGAGTCCAGCACAGCCTCGTAGATGCCGGAAATAAGATGGAAACAACTGCCTTTACCTCTGTTTGTGTTTTCTGCCCTTGTTAAGTGTATAATCAGCACTGTTTGTCACATGTGTGTATTCTGTAAGCTGCTCTGAGTCCCCTTTGGGATGGGAAGGGTGGGGTATAAATACTATAAATAAATAAATAAACCTACACCTTGATCAGGAAGAAAAGTCTCTTACCAGGCTCGGAGGACAATTGGGAGATGAACAACTTGCCAGAATGAGATCCTGATGAATTCCCAGAAGAGTCCAGCTACCTTCTGGCTCTCCTTGGGAGGGGAACCAAGAAAATTATTCAGGATTAATCTGGGCTCCTTAATATACAAGAAGAACAGTTTGTTTTCCTCTACCTGTGGTTTTTGAAGTGACAACTTCTGAAATCACACATACAAATTGTTCTGTGCATGCAGAGATTCTTGAAAACTTCTAGAGTGGAGTGATGTAATTTGGGCAGGACCCCTTGTGTGAATATGTTTATTTCCATTTACACTGCACTGTCAGAAATCTGAAGAAAGAAAAGATCAAAATGAAGACGGAAGGGCTATGTGGATAGGCTGGCTGGGGTAGATGCTTACTCAAAGAACCAGATAGGCAAGCTTTATATGCTTCAAGTAACTCACAAGGATGGGTGAACAGCAAAATGATTTACTGGAAGGGGATTGTGTATAATGACGTATCAGCAATTGTATCATTCTTATAAGGGTATAATCATTCATGCGTTTTCACTGCAGATACATATAGTTGGCTAGGCCCATGGCCTGGCAGGGAAATATCCTTCAAAAAGCAACAAAAGTATGCAGAAACCTGACAAATTTAGGACCTGGCTCTTATCAGAGGTCGTAGCTGGGGGAGTGAAAATACATGACAACATGAAATCAAAGCAACCAGTGAGTCAAGAGTGATCTTTTGAAGCTTCTTCCTATATAGAACGGACCAACATTTACATTGTTGGGCTTGATAGATAAAGAGTATGATCGTGAAGCAAGATGAGAAGACTACTGTATAAAGATTTGGAATTAGGCTAACCTGTGTGATTTTGGGGGGGGGGGGAGAGACAGAGATAAGGAGCTTTCTGAAGGAGAAGAAATGAGTTTAGGAACAAATTGGAAAGAAGGGGGAAAACAAAACTTGGAACAGAGGGGATGGAGTAAGAAGAACATAATTTCCTTTCTTAGCAGAAGAACCAGAGTCCCCAAGCAGCTTCAACTCCTTTTAAATATCAGTCTTTTTAGGCCTTAAATGTTTGCATCCCAACCATGTACAGAAGCAAACTGTTTGGGTTTTTTTTCTAGGGAATTAAGATGAACTGTAACTTTCTTAAGTAACTTCACCTTCTCTGTTGGTATTCTGAAGCAGTTTATGTTGTATATAATCACTTAATATACTTAATATTATTTTATAATATTATTTGAGGTCAGTTGCAAATCTTTAGTGTGTTACTCACATAGTTCTGGTTTCTGGAATAATTATGTAAAAACCTTCCCCTAAACCCTTTCCTTTTTTCTTCTTTCTTGGCTTCTCCTCCACTGCACTTTTTTATTCACCTCCTCTTTATCCAGTCTGAACACACATTTTAAGGTTCTTAGATCACTAAGATGTATTCCTTTTTTTACACACTTCAGCAATTCAGACCCATGATTCATGTATTCAAAATGAATGAGTGCAATTGGTGCTTAATTTCATTAGCTTGGAAACACAAGGCTAAGAGATCTAAAGAAATAGGTATTAGGGTAAAACGAGTTGAGAGAATATTAAGGCTGTCAGATGTGTGATCTTTAAACAAGAAATATCACAGACTGAATTTGGAGTCTCTGGCTCCTGCATGCCAAACGGGTGCCTTCTCATCGATCTTTTACAGACTATATTTCTTGATTGAGATCAGACAAACATAAATTATTCAGTTGCATAGAGAAATGCTTTGTATATGCTGAGAAATTCTCAAAACAATTTTGATTAAGAATTCAGTGACTGGTCTTTTTATTGCTGTACTTAAGATGTGTAAGTGCCCTTTAATTGAAATAAATCACTCTTTATTAAATTTTTCACCAACAAGTTATTTTAAGAGTGAGTGAAGTGTACATGCTGTTGTTGGGGGCTGAAAAGAAAAAAGAGATACATATAAGTTACAAACTGAATTGAATGATTTCTAAGATGGGTGTTCCCATGGGAACAGCATCTGCTATCCTTAGAGTACTCAGGCATATTGGAACTCCCAATATTTCCAAGCATCAGTTTCCAAAAGGAAATGAAATCCCAATTGTGATGCTGTACCAGTGAATGAAAAGGAACAAAGGGGAAGTGTGGAAGCCCCTCCTAGATGGGGACACCAGGGTGAGGGTGGAGTTCTTGCCCAAAACACTTCTCCCAGCAATGAAGGTTTCTGAAAGTCTCTGTGCATGTGCAAAAACAAAACCCTCTACGTGAGCTATACGGAGATATCACAAAAGAAATGGTGAACAGTTGCATTGCAAGTGGGTTACATTGCAAATACAGATAAAAGAGACAATTTTCTTTACTGCTAGATGTGCATTCTTATGCCAGAGTAACACAGTAAAGTAAGAATTAGCTTAGTCAGCTATTAGTATGGAACAGGAGCTTAATTCTGAATGGAACAAAACCAACAATTTTGACTCTATTCTTTGTTCTTCCAGGAACAGCGAGAGAAACGAATGGCTGCAGCTCCTTCAATCCCAGACTGAACAGTAAGTATGGTATGTGTGCGGGAGAAAGGGAGCACTTTACATTTTATGACTCACATGGCTCCCATTTGTTGTTGGCCTTCATTTGCACATGCAAAGGAGTTGCAGAAGAGCATGAGGGATGAATTCCAAACTAACCATTTGAAATGTACATGAGAAAAATTATAATGGCAACAGTATCATTCTGGGAAGCTGACCATTTCATTATTGGACTAACATTGTAGTTGTAGCAGTGCCGTGAACTTAGAAGAGGATCCTCCATGAGGCAAAGGAACCAGGAGATTGATGGAAGCCATCTTTTCTCTCATAGGTTCTATTGCAAATATAACAATGGGAAAAGTGAAAGAGCTATGGTAGTTTGTGGCCATTACAGAATACAGAAAAATTGGATATGGAAACACTTATGACTATGTCTTATCTTTGGAAGAGATCTCAGAAAACACAATAGAGCTCCTGCAGTCTACAATCTTTTGACTGTACCTGCTGTAATAGACTTTACACTTCCCATATTGGTATCCACAACTAGCAGCTCCTAGAAAACATGAAAAAAAATCATGAGCATCACATTAGCAGCCCTTTTGGACTGACAGGTAATAAATTAAAACTATAAATAAATAAATAAATGCTTCCATACATAAATCCATTTGCAAAAAAGGCTGCTAAGCTACAGAAGCCCAGTAAAACATACTTTGGTATGGATGTTTTTCACATTACCTTCTCTAGCCCAGAGAAAGGGCTGATCTATACTTGTATGTGAGAGGACAGATAAAGCAGCCCCCCCATCCAGCTCAGTTCTAGATTAAGTCTTTTCCCCTTCAGACAAACACTTTCTGTGAATCTGTATCTCTTCATTTTATAAGTCATTTTAAGTTAAGTACCACTGACTATCCTTCCATAGCTGTGAACATATATCAGATCTCATATATGTGAACATCTTTGCATTATATGCTTTTGCTTTTATAAACCTGATTAACTATTTAAGTTTCAGTTTTAAGTGTGTCAAAACACAGTGAATGAATGAATGAATTGTTTATTGTACTAGCCATAGGCCATGACATCAGTAAAATACTAACTTTATAAACACTTTCCAATATAAACCTTAAAACGTAACAAGAATTAAAACTAAAACAAGTTCTTTAAAATTATGAAAGCAGAAACATGACAATAACAGTGTCTGCTTTGTGTCATTCCAAACCGTTTCCATTTCTGACCCCCAGTATGGATTTTGCTACTTTGGCTCTGATCTTTTGGGCTGCGATGCATTATATGCATTATATATTAAAGGCCCATCCAGACAGACCCAAAAAGAGGGACCTGTCAGGGTTTTTACCAGGGGTGTCCAAACGAGGTCACCGGTAAAAACAAATTAATTTGGAATAATCTTGGCTATATCGAATTAATTAAATACCCCATTATACCCAGGCCTTCCTGAAAGGCCCGGGTCTAATGGGGCATTGGCCCTGTGGGGACTCACTCCTGGGTAGTTCCAGGACCAACCAGAACTACTTGGGTAGTGAGTCCCCACAGCCATCTTGCACCTTCTGGACTCCTGGGCTCGCCTCCTCGCTGCTGCCCCCCTCCCCCCATGTCCTGGTGCATCATGTCTACGTGCCAGGAAGACTGGAAGACCACCTTAATGGTGGCCCGGTAAGTCTTTAAAAAAATTAAGGGTTTTTTTTTGGGGGGGGGGGGGCTTCAGGGTGGCTGTATGCCATCTTGGTAGTTACGAGGATGGCATCTAGACATTCCCTAAGGAAAGCCCTGGTTTGAGGCAGGGGGGAACTTAAACACACACCAAAGCAGGTGTGGAAGCATCCTAGGACATGGGAAGCTCAGATTTAGCTAAAAGATTAATCAAGTTACTGTCTCTCAGTGTAGGCTGTTAGTCCCTGAGCTCCTTGAGAAAATATTATTATTATTATTATTATTATTATTATTATTATTATTATTATTTAACGCAGGACAGTTTACAATACAAAAAGGCCAACGTTCAATGCCCAGACAAATGCAAAAAATATATATGCAATAATGCAATATAATAGACATAATAATGACAGTGAACTTATTGTATAAAAAATGATGTCAAAATGAAAAACAAGATACAAATAATCACATAAAAACAGGTTACACTAATCAAATGTTTAAAAATATACATGTAAGCTATGACCAGTTGTTCTGTATTTATATCAAAAAACTCTGGACATTTTAGTATATCTATCTATGATATAGCTGATATTTAGGAACAGTGATAACGGATCAAAAGTTCTTTGGCTGACCTGCTTTCACGTAACTCAAAGCCGCTTCTGCAGGATTCAACATACCTTCCTGCTCCTCTGAGGTGTGCTAAGCAGGACTCTGTTGTCAGTAGCCCAACAAAGCAGAGGAAGTGCCCCAGGGTAAATTCCATAAACACCTTAAAATGGAGAAGACAGCCATGATATACTATAGCTCAAAGTTGGGAGCTATGAGTGAAAGGGAAGAGATTTCAAAACATTTCCACATCAAAACGTGATGTGTATAGTTTCCTATTTGAAACCATAACTGTCCATTCACTGGGTGAATGAGAGGAGAAACTCACAGGCAAGGAATTCACACATCTCAAAGTTGACTTGTATAGTTGGTAGGAGGGGAGGGGGAAGCCTGACTACAGTTCACTGTTTTCTCTATAGCCATCCCAGCAATATCCTACTCTCATTGATTCATTCAGATAATTCAGTCACAATGGATTGTAAAGCAAAAAGGCCATATTGGATGCTAAAACTCTTAATAACAAGACCATAGATAATTCCTTTAGTTAAATACTAATGGTGGCTCTAGTTTTGAGAATGGAAAGAGACAAAGTATACTTTATAAAGACCCTGAAGAGAAACATACAAAATGTTCATTAAACAAGGCTCATGAGATATCTATTCTGTCCATCAAAGAGGCTGTTTCAAGTTCTCTGCTAACTGGAATTTCTCTCCTCTGTATGGAATTATTCTAGAAACTGAAAATAAGGATGTGAGAACTCTGACTAAGGGTCCAATCAAAATGTATGAAGCCTTGCCATTCGCAGCGAATGCCACTTGAGATATCTTGTGTCTTCCTTTTTTCAAGAGCCTATAATTCTTGGGAAAGAGAAAAGAAAGGGCTCTTAATCTATTCCATAGTGGCAGGAAGCAACTATACCAACCACCTAGACTCCCTTTGGGTGGAAGGTTGATGGCCTTTCAACACAATTGGGCAAAAATGGCTTCGGACAGACTGATGCCAAGAACTGTGTCCAAGAACTATAGCATATAATCTACCCAGATCACGAGGACAGGTTTTTGGCTTAGTGAGTAGGAAAGGTATCAACAAAAGAGCTAGGGAGTGACAGATTTATGGATGAACTGAGCTAAAGTAGAAAAGCAATTAGAAAAAGCAATTCTACTTTCAATTATTCACTATCAGAACTTGTTACTTACCATCCGTTGCAGTCCTGACAACATCCACTACTATAGATGTGTGCTTTGTTTGCCAGTTGAGCTAGACAAGAGACAAGACCAAACAAAATGCACAGTGAGCATTTCACCTATCATTTCATGTATCAGTCTCATTTACAGAGCACATTTAAATTACCAATACACAGAAGCTAAAAAAACAAAAAATGTTCTTGTAACTATTAGTTTTAAATTAAATGGTTAAGTATTATTAAGAAACAGCACCAATTGTGTTCTCCTTTCGGTGAAAGGAGAACACAAGCCAGAAATAATGTTTACTACATATAAGGATGTATGTACACATATAAGGATATATCTACATATATGTGGTAAGCATTGTTTGATATCTTGATTGTCTACCAAGTTGTACCTAAAAACTGGGGAGGGGGAGAGCAACATGTAGGTTTACATTTCTTTGATTTGCTGCCTTGGCCCTAAAACAGAGGAGTCGATGTTGTGGCACTCCTGATGTTTGAGTCTCCAACTCCCAGAAGTCCTAGCATGCTTGTGCAATGGCCAGGAATTCTGGGAGCTGAAGTGCAAGACACGTGGAAGGCCACAAGTTTGATATCACTGCCCTAAAGGAAGGAAGAGAAAATCCTCTCAAGGTACTCACCATCTTTAGTTTCAGGCAATGACGATGAGGCCCAAATACTGGTCCCTCCAAGTATATCAGGCGGGTTCCGTCTGGGCTGAGGCGGGGAGAGGAGACAGCCTGATCATCCAAGGAAAGCAGTTCTGCAAACACAATAATGAGACTGAATCAGAGGTACAGACATGTCTAAGCAAAGTTACAATCATGGAGATCATGAGAACTTTCTAATTCTCATTACTAGGATGGGACATTTCTAGATTTGTAGAATTAGACTTAGAATATAGGCTGTCTGCAGTATTGTCACTTGAACAGTTGTAAAAAAAAATCCTGATCATCGTTATTTAAAAATATATTATTTTACAAAGAGAAAATCACAAACACAAACAAAACTCTTGATTTCTGCTATTTAGTGGGAGATTTTTGTCCCAGTTTGTGCCCCCTCACTTTTTTTGCAAGAACAACGATGTGGAGAACATTTATGTTGTGTCATTGCAGCAGGTTCAAAAGAAGTCAAAATTTCTTTCAAGGCAAGACAGGATGATACTAGTATTCTCCTTGGGGCCAGGAAATGTCCCCCAACACTAGTCCTAACCCCAATATATGAGAATTCTCATTGGAGTCAGAATGCACACAATACATTAAAAAGACATTAAATACATTAAATACACGATACATTAAAAAAAACCCTGTTGAATAAGATTAATCTTGAGGAAGCAATCAGTATGAAGCCCCCAACTCATGAGTTCAGGATACAAATGGCTTGGTCATCTTCAAGAAACCCAAACAACTGCTCTTCCATAGTTTCTTATGTCAATATATTCCCTAACTGATATTTTGAAAAAACAAAACATGTGGGCAAGAAGAAACATGATCACTCAGGGCAGATCACAGTACACATACACGGCAAGCATTCAGTGCCACTTTGTATAGACAATACACAAATACACAGACAGAACAGAACAGAACTGAAGGAGGTGCCATGGGAGGTTGGGCTTGAATCCAGGGGGTGCTGTTGTTCCATCCTCTGACGAAGAGCCGTCAGGACTTCCTCCTTTCTTTTGGTTGCCCAGCATTCTCTGATCTTCCTTCTTTATGGCATTGTAAAACACCTCCCCCGCTTTTTCAGCGGTACTTAATTTCTCTAATCACAGCTAAAGCTGTTTTCGAATTGCTTAGGTAAACAATGAGCTAGTTGACCGCTCATGCCAACCCGGGGCTTCGAACTTGCAACCTTTTGGTTGTTGTTGTTGTTATTATTATCATTATTATGGCTGAGAAGGCATGCACATCTTTGGAATACCACATGTGTTTAAGAATATCTATGCACCTGAAGCCATATTGTCTAAAATTTTGCTACTTACTGTTCAGACTTCAAGTGTTCAGGGGTTCCCTCTCTGGTCATTTGATTTTGCATACTTTTTGAAAGAAATGCATGAAAAAAAATATTTGAAGTGGCCACTGGAAGACTTCACAATCACACAGAAGATATATCTCAAAGGCTTTAATGGTTGCATAAGAGAAAGAATTTGTAAGTCTCTTTTCTTCTGCAGTACTATAGCAGTAAAAGTTGCACCAATTGACCTTTTTTCTTTGTTACAGCCAACACAGTACAGAATCTGTGGCATTTATTTGAAAGTCACAGATGTTATTTTGCACTTTTGTGGCACTCTTGGTTTTATGTATCTGAGATGCATTCAGTCATTCACACAGAAAGGAACTGCAAAACATGGAGGAGCAAGCAGCAAACAAACAGGCCATCCCTGAGATTGACTTACCACAGCTCTTTTCAGTAAGATCCAAGAGAAACAAGGCTGACCTATAGCAGGAAGATGGGAATGGTAGGAAATCTCCAAAAGGGAACATGTATTTTACCTTCACCAACCATCACACTATAAATATATTAATACAGGACGTTTCACACAGCGCAAAGAACCATTAATGAAGCAGTAAGACAGCCATCTCTGAAAATCTGAAGGACTGTCATGTGAGAAATGGAGTGAGGTTGTTTGCTACCCCTCCAGAGAGCTCAAATTAATGGATTTATTGAAAGCCAACCAAGTCAGATTCTTTCTAAACATGAGGAAGAACTTCCTGGCAGTAAGAGTCAATTTACAGAGGAATTGATTATATCAAAATATGGGAGACTGTAAGAGATTTTAAAGCAGAGAATGGACGGTTATTCATCAGGGATGCCTCCATTGTAGAGGCTTGGCTGGATGATTTGTGGGGTCTTTTCCTTCTGTTTAATTCCTGGGTTTATAGAACATGATGCTGGGAGAATGGAAGCCTACAATTCCCTCTTTATTACACAGTGATTTAGAGAAGCCTGCAGGACTAATTGTTTATATTTTCTTCCTCAGAACAAACTACCACGGGGAAGCTTAATTAAGGGATTCATGAAGGAAATCTTGGTTCGGTACCTATCAGTTATTCTTAGCATTCATAAGTTGAAGCTGGTGTAGTTACTCATTGGACTACTTTCAAATCTTTGATCATTATGTTTACATAACTAATCTTCAATAATTACGATGAATTTCAGGAGTAATCACAAACTGAGATCTCATTTGATTTTAAGATATAAGTTCCCCCAATTTCAGTCTGCCCTAAAGCTGACTGAAATTTTGCCTTTGAATTTTCCTTGAAGCAATGGCTGGTAGAATGCAGTCAAATTGGTCTTTTATTTTATTTTATTCTTGCTTCACTCCAATATGAGATCTAAAGTGGGTCAATGAGACCTTACTTACCTTCTATTGGAGCAGGCACTCAACCCCAATCTGAAGGGCTCATGCCACCAGCCTACAAACACTATACCCTTGTTGTCTGGGGACCAAAGGGCCTGGTTGGAGAAGCAAAAGCAAAATATTAGTCAGTAGCATTGGGATTTGATGTTACCTGATCTGTAGAATACAACGGTAGCTAATAAAATTCTTCCACAAAACCCTCTGTTAAGAGCTCTTTTAGCTTTTAAGACTGCTGTCTGACAGAAATTTCCCAAGAACTACATCCCACAGGCTGCTTCCTAATTAGAAGCATTTGGAAATAGCCTAGAAGGCAGGAAGGCAGAAAACTATACTAAGGCTATCTATCTATTTATCATCTCCAGCAGGTTCCAGCCTGCAGCAACTTCATGGATTCACATGCACGTCATAGTAAGAACCAAAGGATTAAAACCGCAAAATGATCTCCGTAGAGCAGGGGAGAGCACCTGGTGGCTTGTGGGTTGCATGCCACCATCATGTGGCCCCTAGGACCACAAAAGTGTCAAAGAATTGTCCCAAAATGGCACATTCTGCCCAATATTATTTTAGGTTCAGAGTGGGCCTTTTTCTAAAATAGGGAATGGCTTTTGGCTACTTTCTGTTGCTAAAAAAAGGTTCCTGACATGGTCAAAGGTGAAAAGAAAGACACATAACATATATTCATGTGAGAAGTATGAATCAGGGAAGGCTAGACATAGTAAACAAGAAGTGGAATAAATAAATATTGCAAGACGTAGGATAAGCAAACCAAAGAGGAAAGGAATGGGATATTAGCCACGTAATTACATAGTGTCTTATTCAGTACAAGATAAAATTGTTGTTGTTGTTGTTGTTAAATGGAATGGCATCAATAGTGATGAGGAATGTAGCAAAAGCAGTCAAAGTATGTAATGGTAAGTCTGACTGATTATAGAATCATAGAATCGTAGAGTTGGAAGAGACCTCGTGGGCCATCCAGTCCAACCACCTGCCAAGAAGAAGGAAAATCGCATCATTAATATCAATAAGACTTCAGGGGAATTTTTTTAATAACCACAATCCAAGTTTATGCAGAAGAAGAGACAGAAGAAGAAGAAATTGAAAGATTTTGTGATAGAGCCAGGAGGAAAATACAACCTGAATAATATCCCCATAAGTTTTAAATATAATATAAAAATAGATTTGCACTACTAAGCCTAATTGACTGAGGGTCATAAGAACTCTAGACTGATGCCAGGAACACTGTCAGGGAGGACTGCAAAAAGATAAGAGATGAAATAGATAGCAGTCAGCACTCAAGGGATTATATTGCAAACAAACATTAGATAATGGAGCACATCAAAGCATATCAGAAGAAAATCATCCTGTGCTTTTAAAATCATAGCAAAGTCTTTGTTGAAAAGCTATGGGCTGCTCTTTGATTGCCCTGATGCATAAAGAGACCACTGTTGGGACAAAATATGGAGAAACAGAATGTTTTTCAATGACAAAGGTTCTATAAATAGCATGAACTGATGAAAAGACAAATAAATGGAGACAATCAACTCTGAAATTTATCTAGAAGTCAAGATGACTAAATTGAGACTAGAAGGGGAGGGAAGGAAAAAAAATTCACCATCCTTAAGACATCTGGACACCCACTCCAGAAAAGGATGTGCTTTTTGGGATATATGTGGACTTCAACCCGGGTGCAACCGTGTTTTTAAAATGCGATTGCTCCCGGATTAAAGGGTTGTGTGGAACTGCCCTGAGTCTGCAAGATCTAAGCAGGACTGTGACAGAGTGAGCTGGAGGTCTCTTGTTCACAGGACTGTCATAACTCAAAATCGACTTGATAGCAGTTAACAAAAACAGGCGTTGTATCTTTCATTTATAACCATCCTGTATTTTCTTGATGTCACCTCATTTTTTTCCTACTGAAAATCCATAAGGGAAGAATAACAGAATACCTGCACAATACCAGCAATTGTCTGTAAGCACCTAGTGTGAATGTTCACATATATGTAGTGTGTTAATGTGACATCTTCTGCGGAGCAGATTGCTAGCTGCAGTACTGTATGTGAAAATGTGCTATCTAATTTCACCTGTAGATGGCAGCCTTTAATCTGTTTGGTTTAGAGAGCAAAGCTTCATTTGACCAATCTTAGAGCTTCCGAGCTAGAGACAGTTCAAAATTGACTGCCTATTCAAAGGTTAAGGCTCATTTTTGCTTGCAAAAATGTTTGCAAAAATGCGCATGAGAAATATAGACCAATATCTAGGACCTGGGACCTTCCCACTGTGCCCTTTAAGCACTCTTTTGTAAAGCAAAACATAATTCAAGACCAGCAAAAGTGGGTCATAGCCCTCTTTCTCTTTACTGTTTTAATCCTTCTTCTCTCAGTTACTCCGAAATGCCTTTGATCTCTTCCAAGCTGCAGTTAATGTTCTGCTATCATTCCATTCTGCATTGTACTAACCTGCCCTGGGGAGATATACTCTGGGATGCCATCCAGTATTGAAACTTCACTGGTTTCAGTGTTCAGCACACACATGACTGGGATGCTCTTGTCACTTAGTGCTTCTCCCCAATTGTCATAGTACCCAAACTGCTCCTGCTAAGACACAATCAGAGGTATAAGTACTGAATGCATCCTACTCTGAAAATCTGCATTCTCCATGAAAAGAAAAGGAGGCCAAGTGCACTCAGCAGGACTTGTTGCAGTCAACCAGGCAATTTTTCAGATGAAGAAAGGTTAAATGGTTTGCTTCTAACGTCTGCATCTAAAAGTTGCAAACTGTTCAATATGACCCCAACAGGTTCCCATACAATAGGGATACTGAAATACTTCTGCACAAGAAGTTTACGCATCTATAAGAAGACATTTAATGCAAACTGGCTCCAAAGGAAGGCCTCACTAATTTTATGCTGTTTTGGATTCACAACACCCAAAACGGTACTAGGCGTACAATGTAAGGAGGCCCTCTGTCTTTCTAGGTTTTTATTATGATGAGGGAATCTGGCACTGAAGACACATCCCTTATTTATTTATTTATTTATTATTTATTAACTTTATTTGTACCCCGCTAGCATCTCCCGGAGGACTCGATGCGGCTTACACAGGCCGAAGCCTCAAAACACAATACAGTAAAACATAACATGACAGTAGAAAACACAGCAAATCAATAGTTAAGCAAGCAATAACGACAATAACAATACATCATGACACTTTAAAACTGGGCCGGCCAGCGCAATGGGGTACAGGATTAAAAGTGCTAGAGTGGCAGGAGGAGCATAGGAATAAAAATAGTACGGTGTGCAGTAATGTTAATTGTACTAAAGTGCTTCTAGGACTTGGGTGGGGGATTCCTAATCTGAGAAGGCACATCGGAACAGCCAAGTTTTTAGGTTCTTTCTGAAAGCTGCTAAAGTAGGGGCCTGGCGAAGATCTTTTGGAAGGGCATTCCAAAGTCGGGGGGCCGCCACAGAAAAGGCCCTGTCCCGTGTCCCCACCAAGCGCGCCCGCCGTTCCAAAGTCGGGGGGCCACCACGGAAAAGGCCCTGTCCCGTGTCCCCACCAAGCGCGCTTGCGACGTAGGTGGGATCACGAGCAGGGCCTCCCCAGATGATCGAAGCGAGCGTGTGGGTTCGTAGATGGAGATGCGGTCACGCAGGTAGGGTGGTCCCAAACCGTTTAGGGCTTTGTAGGTGAGCACCTGCACCTTGAATTGGGCTCGGAAAATAAATGGCAGCCAGTGGAGCTCCTTAAACAGAGGGGTAGACCTCTCTTGATAATGAGCCCCAGTTAGCATCCTGGCTGCTGCCCGCTGGACCAGTTGGAGTTTCCGAGCCGTCTTCAAGGGCAGCCCCACGTAGAGCGCATTGCAGTAATCCATTCTAGAGGTGACCAAGGCATGGACCACCCCGGCCAGATCAGCCTTCGCGAGGTACGGTCGCAGCTGGCGCACAAGTCTCAATTGTGCAAAGGCCCTCCCGGATACCGCCGACACCTGAGCCTCAAGTGTGAGCGACGAGTCCAGGAGGACACCCAAACTGCGGACCTGTGGCTTCAGGGGGAGTGTAACCCCGTCCAGCACAGGTAGCCACCCTATACCCCGATCCGGTTTACGATCGACCAGGAGGACCTCTGTCTTGTCAGGATTGATTTTCAGCCTGTTCTTCCTCATCCAGATCGACACAGCGGCCAGGTACTCGTCCAGCACCCGGGAGGCCTCCTTGGCATTAGGTGGAAAGGAGTAGTAGAGTTGTGCGTCATCCGCATAGAGATGGCACCCAACTCCAAAACTCCGGATGACCTCTCCCAGCGGTTTCATGTAGATGTTAAAAAGCATGGGCGACAAAATAGAGCCTTGCGGGACCCCACAGGTCAAAGGCCAGGGGTCCGAGCAGGCGTCCCCCAGCTTCACCATCTGGGTTCGACCCTCCAGGAAGGACCGGAGCCACGATAGAACCGCGCCTCCGAGGCCCATCCCAGAGAGACGACCCAGAAGGATACCATGGTCGATGGTATCGAAAGCCGCTGAGATGTCCAAGAGAACCAACAGAGTCACACTCCCCCTGTCCAGCTCTCTGCGGAGGTCATCCACCAAGGCGACCAAGGCCGTCTCGGTGCCATGACCAGGCCTGAAACCAGACTGTGACTGATCTAGGTAGTTGGTATCATCTAAGAAGCTCTGGAGCTGGGATGCGACCACCCGCTCCAGCACCTTACCCAAAAAAGGGAGGTTGGAAATTGGCCTGTAATTGCTCAGCACCGTGGAGTCAAGGGAAGCCTTTTTGAGGAGTGGACGAACCACAGCCTGTTTCAAGTTAGATGGAAAAATCCCTTGCTCCAACGATGCGTTGATAATCAATACAAACCAATCAACCAGCCCCTCCCTGGCTGATTTAATGAGCCAAGATGGGCACGGGTCTAGAGATGAGGTGGTCGCTCTCACAGCCCCAAGAATCTCCTCCACGGTTTCAGGAAGAACACGCCTAAAAGAATCCCACAAGGTTGGACAAGCAGATGTCTCCGTCACCTCTTCTGGCACTGCGATGAAATTGGAGTCGAGCTCAAGGCGTATCTGGGCGACTTTGCCTGCAAAGTGGTGTGCGAAATCGCGACACCGAGCTGCTGGGTCATCAGTGACCTCCTCCACCGCAGGTGGGTGGAGGAGTTCCCCCACGACCTGAAACAGCTCCGATGATCTATTTGCTGCAGACGCTATCCGGGTGGTCGTGAATGATTTCCTGGCCACCCGTATAGCCACGGAGTATGCCTTAAGAGAGGCTTTAGCCCGTGCTCGATCAGACACGTCCCGAGATTTCCTCCATTTGCGCTCTAGCCCCCTTCTCGCATGCTTCATCACAGTCAGCTCCCCGGTGAACCAGGGAGATGGCCTGTCACGATGCAACGAGATGGGGCGTTCGGGTGCGATCACATCTAACGCCCTGGACATCTCCCCATTATAGAGAGTCACCAAGGCGTCGATGGAATCGCCAGGCTCCAAGGCAGGAAGAGCCCCAAGATTCCTCAGGAATCCATCCGGATCCATCAGTCTCCTAGGGCGGACCATTTTAATCTGTCCTCCACCCCTGCGGAGGTTAGGAGTCGCAGCAAGTCTAAAACTGATCAGATAATGATCAGACCATGACACCGGAAGGATGTTTTGATCTTCCACTCTAATCATTTCGTTGTCCGCCACAAAAACCAGGTCAAGAGTATGTCCAGCTTGATGAGTGGGACCAGATATTATTTGTGACAGTCCTATGGTCGTCATGGTGGCCATAAAGTCCTGAGCTGCACCAGATAGGGTGGTCTCAGCGTGGATGTTAAAATCTCCCAGCACCACCAGGCGCTGGGAGACCAAGGCCGAATTAGAGACCCCCTCCGCTAGCTCAGACAGGGAAGCTGCTGGGTCGCGGGGTGGGCGGTACACCAGCAGGAACCCCACACTGTCACGGCTCCCCACTTTCAAGTGGACACACTCAAACCCAGAAGCCTGCGGAACAGCGCATCTGATCACGGCGATGGATTGCCGAAAGACTACTGCGACCCCTCCTCCCCGCCCCACTTGTCTGGCCTGCTGATGCACTCCGAAACCTGGTGGACACAACTGAGTGAGATTTACTCCCCCCAGCTCGTCCAACCAGGTCTCGGTGATGCATGCCAGATCCGCCCTCTCATCCAGGATCAAGTCCTGGATGGCCGCGGTCTTACCATTAACGGATCTGGCATTAATCAGCAGGACCTTAAGACCAAGGGGGCTGCCATGGAGCCTACCACTACCTACCTTCTCCAGGGTCGCAAGAACTCTGTTGCGCTTCTCCCTGGGATGTTGGTGACCCGCTATTCTCCTCCCCCACACGACTTGGATGGCACCCCCTTCCTCTGGAACCCTCCCCCCCCCTACATGGCCAGGATCTGTAACTAGTCAGCTCTCAGAGGAAGAAGTCGGGCTGGGGAATAATCTCCCTTGGGCGTTAGGTAGGGATGTTTCTGATGATGAGGTAGATAATGAAACATCAAGGGAGCTGAGTGGGCTGAATAAGGGAAGTGTTCTCGAGCGAAGGAGTGTGGCTGGTTGAGTGGGGGCGACCGGGGCAGATGGGGTCTCAAAATGGTATGAACCAGGGAGGGGGGGAGGGGGAGGCCCTAACCGGGGAGCTAATTGTGGAGTTCACACGGGGACCTGATGGAGCATGGCGAAAAGGAACCCCGGAAGCAAATAAGGGGCGTATCTGAGGGTCCACAACTACCCTCCTGATGGTAATGCCCCATTTCTTTAAGCCAGAGCGCTTTGCCATTAGCTCTCCGAGCCATGAATTGTCTTCTGGTGTTATTTGAAGACGGGAGGAGCGGTCAGATGATTGGTAGTCCCTCCATAACCACACTATGGCTTCTAGTCTTATTTCCTGTGGTCTTTTACCCAGGATTTGGGCCAAGGAATTACAAACTGCCCTCTTAGAGGTCCATCTGCCTCTGTTTACCATTTGGTCAGCAATGTCCACCGCAAACATGTCAGTTTGTAGATGTTGATCCTGAGTGCAAGCTGCAGTTGGCTGAACCAAAAAATCTGTTGTTGTATTATTGATCGTCCTCTGAGCAGCCATCACGGACCGCTGCCACTCCAAGATGTTCTCAATCCTATGACTGCCCAAAGATTCTCCCTTTCCCTCAGTCAACTCATCATTCATTCCTCCTTCCACCCCGAGATCCCCAAGATCCGAAGTGCCTTTCTCCCCATTTTGGCACAAGTCCTTAGCTGGATCTGCACACAAAGAGTTATACGTCTTTGGGGAATATGATTGCACTGGAATTCCTGAGAAAGAGGCAAAACCTCTAAGGAGGTGGTCCATTTTCTCATTTAAAAACCTGAGTTGTAACAACACATGATTAAACGATTCCCTCAGGAGGTCATAAAAGTGCAAAAGATCATTCTTCGCATGAGGCTCTGCTTCACCCATTCCTATGTCTAAAAGGTAGCTCTCACAACACTCAAATCTGGGCACTCCCACCAGCTTCACTTACATTCACTTCCAACACAGTCAGCCACTCCCACACCCTCCTCTCTCTCCCACAATTCACTCAACCAACCAACAGTAAACCTGCACTCTCACTCGCTAGTCTAAACACACTCAGCAATCATCCACGCCTTCCTATGAGTCACTTTATCACAACCACTAGTCTAAACACACCCAGCTACCATCCACACCTTCCTATATGGTCACTTCTTTGTCACAGCCAGTCTCATGCGCTCTCCTGGGCCTCTTCGCTTCATCCACCCCAGCAATCCTATCCTCAACAATCAGTCCTATATATACCTCCTAGCACTCTCTCAGCAGTTAAGACATACAACGTATAACATAAAACATGCAGCCAAACTATGCTATATCTAATAACTAAAATAACTAGCCAAAAGAGAAAGTAGGAAGAGAAAATAAAAATAAAATAAAACAGGAGCAAGAAAAGAGTCAGATGGCGGCAGCAGCAGTTCCTTCTGGTGCAGAATGCTCAAACAGCAGCTTCCTGGATCTCTTCAGCCCCTTCCCAATGCAACAGGGGCGACGATGGTCGCAGCTAGCTGGTCCACTCTTCACTCCTCCCAGATGACAGGGGGAGGGGGGCGATGGCGG